TCTCTCTTAAAGCTACCGGGTTTTCTTGGGACACAAACAGTACTTTGTTTCTTCGGATGTTGGTGGCGGAAAAATGCAATGGTATGCATTTCACGAGGAACCAGCTGGTGGGGTTGATGCTCCAAATGGTAAATCTCTGCTTTGTTTGATTTGTTTCTATGGATTGCATTTAGTATCAGTTCACATAAGCTTCTTCTCTATTTGATTTATCAGGAATGAAGAAAAGATTGTTTGAAATATTTGACGGTTGGTGCGACAATGTACTCGACTTATTGCATGCGACAGAGGAGGCTGCGATTCTGAGAAGAGATATATATGATAGAACTCCTGGTTTTACTTGGGGTAGAGGGCGTGTTACGCTGCTCGGGGATTCTATCCATGCGATGCAGCCAAATATGGGTCAAGGTGGATGCATGGCCATCGAGGTATCTTCTATCTAACTATATGAATCCACTCAACGATTTGACAGATTTAGAAAGTGTTGTTGAGTGGAATATTCAATGTTTTTACAGGATAGTTATCAGCTAGCAATGGAGCTTGATGAAGCATGGAAACAGAGTGTTGAAACTAGTACACCTGTTGATGTTGTTTCCTCTTTGAAAAGGTAAAACTTAAAACCAAAATTTTCTTAGTTTGAGCACCCGATGAATACTAAACATGCTCTTGAATTGGTTTAGATATGAGGGATCTAGAAGACTCAGAGTCGCTATTATCCATGGGATGGCGAGGATGGCTGCAATTATGGCTTCCACTTACAAAGCATACTTAGGTGTTGGGCTTGGTCCTCTGTCTGTGAGTATCTTTATGGTTTTCACTGATCGCTATACAACGAAATCATTCTTGTTTGTTCATTTTAACTCAATTCCAAATCTTATTTCTGCAGTTCTTGACAAAGTTTAGAGTACCGCATCCCGGAAGAGTTGGTGGGAGATTCTTCGTTGACATTGGTATGCCATTGATGCTTGACTGGGTCCTTGGAGGTAACAGGTTAGTTTTATCTCGGAGTTTTATCTAAAGAGAACTTGAAATGTCAAGACTTTAGTGACAGACCATAAAGCCAACTCATTTACACGCTTTTGCAGTGAAAAACTCGAAGGAAGGTCACCTAGTTGCAGACTAACTGACAAAGTATGTTTCTTTCTTTCTCTATTTCTCACTCAAAAAAACTTCATTAAATGACTAATATGAAAATGTAAATCTTTTTTTTCAAGGCCGATGACCGGCTTCGAGAGTGGTTTGAAGATGACGACGCTCTTGAACGCACTATAAAGGGAGAGTATGTACTCACAAATCTGAATTCTACATTTAGTTCCATATATTTCTTCACCTACCAAACAAAAAACGGTCTTGCTCTCTATACTGCTTTGGTCTGAGTCTTAATTTCGTTGCAGATGGTATCTAATTCCACACGGCGAAGATTGTTGTGTTTCGGAAACATTATGTCTAACCAAAGATGAAGATCAACCTTGCATCGTCGGGTATGAAACAGCTCACCATCTTTTTCCGAGTGTCTTTTAGCTTCATATCTTAATTCCTCTCAAGTTTATAGTCAATGGAAACTTAGAAACTTCGTATTAAAGTTCTTAAAGTTTGAAACTTTTGAAAACTCTGTTTGATTGCAGAAGCGAGCCAGATCAAGATTTTCCTGGAATGCGCATTGTGATTCCTTCGTCTCAGGTATATATATACTCAGTATCTGATAGTGTGACCTGAGATACTTAAGAGACTAGTCAACGAACTTAACTTTGTTTTTGTCAAACCTTTGGTTTAGGTTTCGAAGATGCATGCTCGTGTGATTTACAAAGACGGAGCTTTCTTCTTGATGGATCTTCGAAGCGAACACGGAACCTATGTGACCGAGTAAGTGGTTATGGATTTTCTGACTAGGTTATTATCTGAGTCTGTGAAGTTTCTGATCGAACATTTGATATTTGAATGTTTTCTAGTAACGAAGGAAGAAGATATAGAGCGACACCGAATTTTCCCGCGCGGTTTAGATCGTCCGACATCATCGAGTTTGGTTCAGATAAGAAGGTGAGGCATCTATTACCCCTACCAAATCTCGGTTTTGTTTTAACCGAGTCGTTTATACGATAACCGGTCTTGGTTTCTGAAAATGATCCGGTTTGGTTTTATCAGGCGGCGTTTAGGGTGAAAGTAATCAGGAAAACGCCGAAATCGACGAGGAAGAATGAGAGTAACGATAAATTACTTCAGACAGCTTGAAATAAGTAAACCGATGGTGAATTTAAGTATTTTATCGGTTTGGCAGATAATTTGTGTAGTCATTTTCTCAAAAGAAAAAAAAATCTGCTTTCAGCTATTCCTTGCATTACAATGTATATATAGGCCTGAAACAAAAAGATAATTATACAAGACATTTCATTTTTTCAACTTCTTGACAACAATAATCTGTTTTGATTACTAAAATGTACCAAATTATTTAGTTTTCTTTTCAAATGAATCGATTTGCGGAATATAAATACTGAGCTAAAAAAAAAAAAAAAAAAAAACACACAAGATGATAGATATATGAACCGGAAAGAAATTAACAAGAAGATGATAAAATCAATATGTTTGGACAATTTTCATTTTCTTAACCTTGTTCTGAACAACGGACTATTCATTATTCATGTATATGGATAATAAATGTGAAAGTAAGAACAGAAAAATTATAAAGTGGGAAACAATAATTTTACTGACATGTTTTGGTGTTTGAGGTAAGGTCCCATCTTCATTAATATTCACTGTCCCATTCCACTTGGTGTTTTGCATATGTTTTATCTTTCTTTCATAAAGTCAATAACCATATACAAGTTTTATAGTTCATTCACAATTTTTCCTTGGCTCATTCGATCTCCTGCGCCACGGCCTATCGGATCGTACTTTGTACTTGATCGACGGCTGTGATTTTATGCATATTCTCTTAAGACGATGCATGTGGTTGTTATTAAATTTCGTTGGTACATTCATGTGGTTTATGCATGAGTTTTCTTCTTTATGATTTTTGTTCTTTACAATTATTTGCGTTCTTCTTTTTGGACTTCTCTCGTGAAGAAAATCAGACGGTTGGGGAAGGCACGTGATGGGCGGTGGGATTCCCACGTGATCGGAGGAACAACATTAATGTCGTAGATAATGTATGTGTGTTGTGTATATACCATATTATAGAACGATTTCTACAAAATGTGATAGGAACAAAACATTGATCGTCTTCTTAAACGGTAGTCATTACTCACTAACTACCTTATTGAATAGTGTAAACGGGTCATGTATCATATCAAAAAACGGGTCATGTATACAATAACCCAAAAGTAGGAGTAGTATTATTAAGGATATCAATTATTGCTTATAATAATGTTTAATTAATGTAACCAACGACATTGCCTTTTTTCCTGATGTTCACGTAACACATCCAAATACATTTTATTTTGTAATGTATCCAGCCAGAGGCTATCCGATTCAATTCATCTAACTGCATTATTTTTGGATTATTAAGGGTTTGGTTTGAGTACATCTCTTTGTAATTTTGGCTTAATTCGTATAATTTCTTCAATAATACACTTCATCTGATACAACTTTAAATTCAATATTTGTATTTTATTGTACATTAAATAATTTCCACCATCTAAACGGTCGGGTATTTTTTTCTCTGAGTTAGGTTATCTATTTATTTATTTTCTTTCTAGCTTTTATACGTACTTTTAATCAACTGAAAGTTCAAAATAATTATTATCCATTGTCTTCGTGTTGATTTTTTTCATAAAAGTTGGATTTTCAAATAAAATAAAGTTGAAAAAACAAGAAGAGATTAAAGAAAATCAAACTGAATCACTGGCACTTTCTCGTCGGTCCAAAAAGAAATACTTATCTTATTCAAAACATTTTCCATTTCACAAACAATTCCAAATCACTCGGCCTCTGACTTTCCCAGACGGAGATCACATATTAAAACAATCTCAAATTTAAGTACGTAACACACTAATCAGATCAAAGCGTACAATTATTATTTTTAATTTAATCTATAATAAATTCAAAATATTAAGTCAACAAACTTTTGTCGACGCCAACTTTTACAGTTTTTTAGTCAAAACAGTGAGCTTAACATGACGCCAACTTGAACAAAACTCTTCTGGAACGTGATGAGTCTCCCAGTGCTCGCTACCTGACTACTTGGTTCCGGATATGTCAAACATCCAACAAAGGAGACACTCACGACTCACCAACCGCTTTCTAATAAGTAATTTCTTTCTCCTGCAATTGAGCTTAACATGTGTTTCTTCGTACTAAAAGCTAAGGTTTAATCAGAGCCGGCCATGGGTACAAGCCAACCAAGCTGGTGCTTGCGGCCTTTTTAAATATATGTATTTAATCGGCCCCAATTTTTTGTAAAGATCCATTAGCTCTGCTGGAAACATTGTACTAACCTAGTGTTGAGGTCTTCGGTTCAATACCCCTTGAGGGAGATATTTTTTAATTTTTTTTTTAAAGGAAAAATCAGCAAAAAAAATTATTTTTGCTTGGAGCCACCAAAATCTCTGGGACGGCTCTGGGTTTAATGTCTCTGTGAAAAAAACATTTAGTTTACAGCAATATAATTAACCATTAACTAAAACAGTGATCTTTTACCGATTTACTTCTAAGAGCTTAAATCACTATAGGTAAATAGGTAATTTACATATATATCCTGGACCTGGAATTGTTTACATTTCAACAACATGTGTATTTGTTAATCTTGTGTTTAGAACTTAGAAGTATTTCGTTTCATAATTCATGGTTTCACGTAACTCGATGTTGTAACATGGTTGGGGTTAAAAAGAACAACTTTGCCTTCGAACGAAGCCGTCTTTGCCATAGTTTGCGTGACCCATCAGCGTCCGTTTGTGTTTGTTTGGGAAAGTCGTCACACGTGCGTTGGTGACCCTAAATAAAATTATCTCAAAAACTCCCCACATACAAAACTCAACCCCTTAACCGAAGTAAAACATCAGTAATTAATATACAGTTTTCAGACTTTATTTATAATTAATATCTTCTTTACTACGATTCCAGTGTAGATATGTAATGTGTTTCATGACCGGGAAACCCATTCAGCAAGTTTTTCGAATTGTTCGACGAGAACTGGAGATAGTTTCTTAACCGGTTTCCTCTCCTTTTCCGGTCGAAAATCGAACCCAAGCGCGTCCGAGACTTCTTCGGAGCTCCACCCGGATTTACGAAGCGACTCAGAGATCCGACCCGCTTTTAATAAAAGCACATCAAGAACAGTTTGATTATCCATAATTACCATTTCACCCTCAAAGAAACCCGATGCTGACACGTGGATTATCTCATCAATATCGGATTCGCTCCACCCGCCTCCTCTCAAAATCGAACCGATCCGGTTTACGTACTGGTTTACCCATTTCGGAGTCTCTGTTTTGGGAAGGTCCAGCGATGAAGAAGATGACGACGATGATGAGGCGGAGTTTCGCCGGCAACGATCCACCGCAGCGTCACTCCAGAATTCAACCCATCTCGACTTACCCGTCCCGTTAGCCCGACCCGAATCTAAGCTTCTCCGAGAAAAATTCGAGGATGATCCAGCTGAATTCTCGCTCACTGAACGTTGCTTAGTGAGAATTCTCGGGAAGAATTCGGAGCTTCGAAAAGCAGATTCTCGCTCGAAGAACTCGGAAAGATCCGACCCGCAACAGAAGATCCGAGTCTCGTCGATGAAGAAAACCGGATTACCCGCTAAAGACGGGTTACAAGGAATGTAGCAGTGATCGAAGATGGGGATCAATAAAGGAGCTCTTTTTAAGGCGTTTCTCGCGACCCGTAATGCTTTTTCCGGGTCGGGTGGTTTAAAGCCCCAAGATTTGCACCAGAGACTGTTTTTGGCGATTTGGAACGATACGGCGGCGATGGGTAGTTCGATCATGGCACGGAGGTGGAGATGAGCTCCGGGAGAACGCCAATCTGGGAATCCTGGGCCGACGGAGAGACCGGCGGTGAGGATAACACGGAGGTCCGGTGGGAAAGTGAAACCAAACTCGGCTTCGACTCGGGCAAACTCGGTGTCGGAGAGACCCGGTTGGATTTTGATACCTGAATTTTTAAGATGATTGATTACTTTATCGGCGAAAGGGGAGAAAGATTGAAGGCTGTTTCGGACCGTGGGAGTGGATGGAGCGGCGGCGCGAGCTGAGAGACGGCGGAGACCGGCTGCGTGAGCCGGAGTCAAACCGGTCATTCTCCGGTCAACGTCGACCATGATTCACTCAGGGCAGAGAAAAGAGCCAATTTTTAGAAAGTTGTTAGCATATTTGAAAATTTTTGTGAGAGTCTGAGAGATTTGTGTAACTGAGAAGTGAAAAAGAGAAGTGTAGGGTATTTATAGCTACACATTGATGGGTCCTATAATATATGCATTATGTATAATATATTTGACCAAATATGAAATTGAACAGCATTACAAGAAAATGCAAGCAATAATATACTATTTGACCATATATGGAATTGAACAGTTATAAGTTCATGGTGTCTACAATTATAAGTTCACACTTCTCTTTCTTGAACTTTTCAGTTTCATCAGAAGCAAGTTCGGCAGGATCTGACTTATTGGAGAAAAATTGTATGCAGAGATAAAAAGATAGGAAACAGACTATTTGCTTATTCTCTAATCTTTGTACCTTCTATAAACTGGAACCTCATCTTTTGCAGCCTTCTTTAGCCGAACAAAAGCATTGCATCTTGAAAGTATCAGCACACACTAAAGCTGGTTTGAATACATGCTCTTGAACGCGTTAACCTCATTTTCAGATCATCCAACGCCATATTCTTCTTCTTCGATGACGAAATCAGATTTCATGGAGAAACTTGTTGCGCACGATAATGATATTGATCGTGTAAATGATTAATTGGACCAGAAAAACCCGAACCGAAGACTATGGACTTGTTGATATTGGGCCTACCGATATCTAAAACAAGCCCCATCCGTGCGACAAAGAGTCGTTTACGTTAGATATTTTTTCTTGGGATTTGCTATGACCGTATCACCAACGTTTTTATTAGACATTGCAGTTTCTCGTTGCCAATTTCTACTAGAGTGAATTAAGTTTTTTCTACTCTTCTTATATGTTTTGGGTTTGAGTTTCTTTCTAAAGAAATTAATGAACGTTTATTTAGACTTTCGAGATTGAGGATTTTTTGTTTTGGACCTTGTATCTACTATTATGATGATAAATAGTATTTAATAATAAATAAAGGCCGCAATCAGTGGCGGAGGCAATTAAGAAACATGGGGGTCATATGACACCCATGGAATTAAAATTTTCAGCTTAGGTTTGTTAAAATAATTATTTGACACATGTCCAAGAATGCTATTGACACCCCCTCTCAAATACTATTGACCCCTCTCACAAAAATTTAAAATAGAAATATGCCATTAATTTTAAGAATTATCTATAGTTTAATTGAGATTGAACATTATCGTTGAGCTTTTTTAACAAACTGTTGGGCTTTAACTAAGTTTTTATTTATTAATTTTGTTGTTTAAAACTTAATTATAAGGATGCATCTTTAAAAAAAAAAATTGTAATGACATTTTGTATAATAAAATTAATATTTATAACAAAAAATATTATGACCCCCGTAACTAATTTTCCTAGCTCCGCCACTGGCCGCAATTATAGTATTTGCTTTGGACCCAAGTAATTAATGGACCGGCCATGAGTCAAATAATGTATTTCTAGCACGTTTACTCCAACCAAGTGTTTATATCAGAAAGAGCCAATTCAACTTCTTCTTTGACCTGTTCCAAGGGATATTCATAAATTTATTGCTAAAATAAACACTCAATCCTAGGAAAATGAACATTATTCTTTTAAAAGGGTACGTTTGTATCTTTGTTTATTTTTTTACCAAAAAAAAAAAAGTGTTTATATCAGAAAATCTTTTCTATAATGTCTACAGTGAATCAATTAGAAACTTTATTTCGCAGCATATCCCATAATGTATCAAATGATCTGTTACAAAGAACTTACGTAGAATTAAATCGGAAATTTATTATTAAAAAAATATGTTATTTATTAGTATTTAGTTTCTTACTTTCAAAAATGAAATAACTTTTATCGATCATATAGAGATTGTTTAGTATGCTCTAAAAACAAGAAATGCAAGTCTTAGATTATTAAAATTGGTCTTTAACAAAAAAAAAATATTACTGTATTAAAATTGGATACTTATTGTATTTCACCATTTAACGTAAATGTAGTGAAATTAAATGTTCACGGATACTGGGCGGTTACGAAAAATGTCAACCAACCTGTCCATTCGACGGTGAGCAAATTATTCAAGCTCAATCGAAGAACGATGGCTATACCAATCAAAACTTAGATGTGCATATTATATACTTTTTTTTTGTCAAAGTGTGCATATTATATACTAAATCATATATTTATATATTTTTAAAACGTGATAGTATAGATTTTAACTTGACATAAAATGATTCAAAAGTGACATGCAAATTAAGAAGTGGATTGTTTTACTTTTACTCGATGTAATGACCAAATTTACCCTTTAATTAGTAAACATATTTCCCTGTTTCTTCTGAAAATTGCATTTATTACATGAATAATATCTAAGCATATACAGTACAAATTTTATGCGTGACGTCATTAAAAATAAAGATCATGCCGTACCTAGTTTTATTTACATGGGGACCCACGTGCGCCGATATTGTTTAATAAAAAGAATGACATGGCTGCCACGTGGATTCGTTCCTCCTACTATATAAACCTCTCACCGTGTGTCTTTTGATTTCAAAATTCTCACACCAGTTTCGTTATCTTTTCTTCGCCGCCAGAAATTAATTATTTTCAAATTGATCCCACTAAAATGGATTATTCAGAAAATGTTCCATCTTATGATCAAAACGAAAATCTCACCCCTGTTGCACCATCACCTCCTTCTTCTTCTTCGTACTTGACAAGAGATCAAGAGCATGGGATTATGGTCTCTGCTTTGCGTCAAGTGATATCTAATTCAGGAAGTGACACCTCATCATCTCACTCGATCGCCGGGGAAGCTCTTCCGCATCCGGACGCTGGCCCTTGTCCTCTATGCGGCGTCACTGGTTGCTTCGGCTGCGCATTCCAACATGGGAAAGAAGAGATTAAGAGAGAGAAGAAGCACAAAGGAGTGAGGAAAAAGCCATCAGGTTCATTATATATATGTTTAAATAGTTTATGTTTAAAGAGCTTTGAGTATATTACGACAACTTACGTATTTTCAAATACTATCACTCTATCAGGTAAATGGTCGGCAGAAATATGGGATCCGACTTTGAGGGTAAGGACGTGGCTTGGAACGTTTTCCACGGCAGAGATGGCAGCGCAAGCTTACGATGATGCAGCGGCTGGGCTTGTCGGGAGAGGACTAGAGAGACGTGGCACAAAGAATGGAGAAAGAAGCCAGGAGGGAGATGGTTGAGAAAAGTATATAGGAGAATCGGATTCGAGGTGTTATACGTCAAGAAAATTATTGCTCACGAAACGAGGATTTGATCGTGTATGTACTTATCGCGAGAGAACAAAGTTTGTTTTGGAGAGTTATGTACATACAAAGTTTTTTTTTTTTATGAAAAACATACAAAGATTTTTCTTTTGTCAAGATATATACACAAAGCCCCAAAAGGCAGAATAACATGCAATCAGAATGTTTATCAGAATTTTTGTTCTAACATTTGTGCATTGTTTTAAAAAATAAAATCCGTAACTATACCACATTATTAATTAACCTCCTCCCAAAATACTAATTTAATGGACTATATTAGAAAGTTTCTGTACCCATTCCGTAACTATATAGCTTTTCTCTCTCTTAACTCTCTCGAAACTTTTAGAGAGAGAAAAAGTCAATTTCTTCTTTTTGTCTTCCGATTAATAATCGGACTAATTTTTTTGTTTCTTTTCCGATCTTATGTTGTTTTTTATCTTTGAAGAGTTTTGGAGTTGAGATATAAAGATTCATTTGAGTTTATGGTTAAAAATTTTAAGACGGTAGCAGCAAAATCTTGCAGATCGGCAACGGTGGAACATGTAGAAGGAGTCAGCGATGATGGATTTGCAGTCCGGCGACGGCGCTGCGCTAGATCGTGGATGTGGCCGGTGACGATCGTGGCAAATCTCCTCCTCACTTTTGGACACATGTTTACACGTGGCACTTTCACTCTTATTCTTATCATTAAAATTGGATTAGGGTAAGTGGGCTTAATTTCAAATGAAGTTGTAAATGTAGGAGAAATTGGGCTTCTGTTTCGTCTCATGTAATACCCATTTGAGTTTTCATATTAATAAATATGAAATGGCCGACCAAAAAAAAAATCTGTAACTATATATATTTATATATAATTTAAATATTAAAGTATGTGATAAGAAAAAAATTATGATATTTACGGAATGCTTTTTTTTTTTGGGGTAAAGGGTTGATAATTACTTAATGTTAACCAAATCATGGGATCATATATGACAAGCAATTAATTTGACCATACCAAATGACTTGAAAATGCCCAAATCTACTACATGCATGTGCTTATACATTTTAAACGTGGCATTATTGATTCGAAAATGACATTCGGATTAAGAAGTGAAAAGGCTTAGTCGGTCTAATGATTAGATTACTTTTATACTTTATACAGAAAGCTGACAGTACCTGAAAACGATTTAATACTATATTAGTATATTTAGTAACAATTTAAAAGTGGATCGAAAATAATTGATACGTATATACTATATACTTGCTTGTTACTACTATACAGTACATGACATCGCATTTATTATTACAGGAGTAACATTCTAAGTAGGAGTATGTAACAACTTTTGTGCCGCGTGTACTATAACTTCAAATTTTTAGATTCACAAGGGACCAGCATGTACATATATTAGATTTTGGTAGCCACGTAGACTTCACCTTCCTACTATATAAACTTAGATTGTTTTCAAATCTTCAAGACAAGTTAACAACACTTTTGATCTTTCCCAGTCACTAAATATAAGTATTATCAGTTTGACACCACGAAAATGGACTATTCAGAAAATGTTCAAAACGAAAATTTCACCCTTGTTTCACAACCTCCTTACTTGACAAGAGATCAAGAGCATAGTATCATGGTCTCTACTTTGCGACAAGTGATATCCAACACTGGAGGTGATACGTCATCATCTCACTGGATTGCAAGTGAAGCTCTTCCACCTCCGGACGCTGGCCCTTGTCCTCTTTGCAGCGTCACCGGTTGCTACGGGTGCGCATTCCCACGGCATGAAGAGATAAAGAAGGAGAAAAAACACAAAGGAGTGAGGAAGAAGCCATCAGGTAAATTTTGTTCTAAATAGTATGTTATGTTCCAACAACTTTGAGCCTGTTCCACCGGTTTATTACTTTAGTAAGTTGTTTATCAGGGAAATGGTCGGCGGAAATATGGGATCCGAGTATGAGAGCAAGGAGGTGGCTTGGAACGTTTCCGACGGCGGAGATGGCAGCGCATGCTTACGATGAGGCAGCGGCTGAGCTTGTTGGAAAAAGATCAGCGAGACGTGGCACAAATTGAAGAATTTGGCGGTGGAGATGACTGAAAAAAGAGTTTGGTCGGTGATCATAACTATAAACGGCGAGGAATAATAAGCTATATAACGATAGTTATAGTAGTTATAGATGCTTTGGGGGAGAAATTAATACATTATTTTATTTATAGGAGTTATAGTATTTTCAATTTTGTATGAGAACCCACTAGTACTTAAGTAGGGGTTTTTTTTTTAATAAGAGATTTGCAAATTCAAGTTTTGAGGAAAAAAAAGGTTCTACCGAGCCCAAAAAGTTTTGATAAAAACCTCTCTATTTAGTGGGCTTTAACATTTGCATTGTGTTGGGCTTTATCATTGTTTTGGGCTGTTTTTGTGTTGATGAAAACCTCTGTGTATGGAAGAGTTTTGTTTTCTCCTCTGTTTCTTAATTGCACTTTATTTGAGGCAGATACTCCCACACCACAGAAGGTAGACACTCTGTTTATGATGATGGAGTCGATCATTGATTTAGTTCGAGAATCTAAAACCACAATATTCCCAAACTGAAAATGAAGTAATTATCAAATAATATAATATATACAAGTTAAGCAAATTTTAGTCTTACCAGCTAATAAATGTTTACAATGTAAATATCTTAATTTGGTAGGGAAATTAAATTTGAGTACGATATGCTATAGTGAGCAGCAATGTGAAGCCAGCGTTAATTTGTCTGCGATAGTCTACTTGATTCTCTCTATTGAATAATCGGCTTGAAACTAGAATAATTGACCAATTCAAGCTCATTCTTGAACAGTACATTAATGACTTAAATGTTGACTTGGATAAATACTTATATATATGTACACACATATATTTAAAACATGATATGTTCTGTACAGTGTACAAGCCAACTCGGCAAAAAAGGGTACACTAATTTGAATCTCGAAAGTGACATGGTGTAATTGGTATAAGTTCTGCATAAAATGGTACAATATTAATTCGAAAGTGACATGTAGATTAAGAAGTTGATTGGTTTACTCGGTGAAAGAGCTAATTTGTTTTATATAGAAGTTTTTATTTGGGTGAAAACTAAATTCTGAAGGCAATAGTTATACTCTAATTATAGAAAGTGGATAGTATGAACTGAATAATCGAAACTTTGGTACATAATACCATATTAATAATAATTAATGTAACGAAAGGAACAAAATCTAAAGATGCAGTAACTTCTTGCCGCGTGGATTACATGAGACGGTGTCATTGAGACCCACATGCTTATTCGACACGTGCTCCTTTAGGAGAACGCGGCCTTTTTGCCCTTCCTTTTCCCCTTCAATTCCAATAGTATATGTGAAACAGACGGAATAAGTGATGGTCTGATGAAAAACGAATGAAAAATGATTGAGATAAGTGTGATGCAAACTTGTAAAAAAAAGAATTTCAAAAAACTTTTATACTATTTATTTACTTACAAAGAAAATGAAAACATAACATTATTTATTTAAATCATATTATTTTGTAAAAACACACACACACGAGCAGAACATGATGTTTTCTTTTTTTTGTCAAACGAACATGCTTGCCTTCGTGTATCTTTTTCCGCCTACAGACAGAGAAATGTAGCTTATCTGCTTTTATTTTCTTCTGTTTAACCACATTCATGTAACTATTGTTTCGACGAATGGTAGCAAAATGTACGGCCACAGAAATGCTAAAGAGGTATCACGCTTATGTTTCAATTCATTGGCTATAAAAACCCTAGTCACTCCCTTTTGTTTTTAAATCTTCACAACATTTGATCCCACCAAAATGGATCATTCAGAAAATGTTCCATCTAATGATCAAAACGAAAATGTCACCCTTGTTGCACCATCACCTTCTTCTTCGTACTTGACAAGAGATCAAGAGCACGAGATCATGGTCTCTGCTCTGCGACAAGTGATATCTAACTCCAGAGCTGACGCGTCATCATTAAACTTGATCGCAAGCGAAGGTCTTCCGCCTCCAGACGCTGGCCCTTGTCCTCTCTGTCGCATCACCGGTTGCGAAGGCTGCACATTCCAACGGCCGCACCGAGAGATAGAGAAGGAGAAGAAATACAAAGGAGTGAGGAAAAAGCCATCGGGTAAATGGGCGGCGGAGATATGGGATCCGAGTTTGAAATCAAGGAGGTGGCTTGGAACGTTTCTAACGGCGGAGATGGCGGCGCGTTCTTACGATGAGGCAGCGCGGAGCTTGTCGGGAGGACATCAGCAAGACGTGGCAAAACGAACGGAGAAGGAATTAAACGGCGGCGGAGATGACTGAGAAGGACATGGACACATGGTCGGTGATCATACACGGCGAGGTGGAAATATTTTTTTCACTAAGATGAATTACTTTTATTCTAAAAATTTTCATTGTTTTTTGTATGAAGATCAGTAAGATTTTTTCTCTATGCTATGTATTAGACTATTACTTATGGTCAGTTAAACGAAGTTCAAAAATATGAATGGAAGATACATGAAGAAATTGAATTAATAGAGGGTTATAGTTATTGGGACTGCTTTAGTGTAGAAAATGGTGCATACAGTATTATTGGGAAAATAACAATGATTATTAATAACACAAATATTAAATGTTTTAAATATGTTTGAGAGAATTATTAAAAATCAACATTTATGAAAGAGATGGAGTATAAACTTTCGGTTAATACAATATTTTGAATGGTAAAGTGTTCTGGTAAATATGATATGACATATCCAAATGATTATGCCAGAAGATCATTGCCTTTGCTTAGTTGGCTATATTAACTTCTAACGAAAATTAGTTGATGGATATTTTGAATTTACCATTTGATATTTAGATTGTATACTTTTATATTTACACCGATCGCACCAGCTATCGTGTTGACCTTGCATGTAACACACCACTTTTTTCCTCCGATTTTTTTCCACCCTATGTTTATATCAATATCTAATTATTTATTCGTAAAATATATATATTCACGCAAATATACGTCCCTCAAGAGAAAAGAGATTTTCATGATTATTTTTGAAAAAAGAGAAGATTTTGAAAGATGACAACAAGCAAAGATATCATGAACTCGCATTGCATGAGATGGGATGGGGAACCTAAGCCTATGAAATATTTTGAACGTTTACAACTTAAGGGCCTATTATTTGAAGACATAATTAGCATCAATCAACGACTTATCCCTATTAACCAAAATAATCAACACTAATCATTAATTTCTACTTACTATCTCTCTCGTAACTTACAGAAAACATATAATGATTTTGACGGCTCATCATCTCGGAGAACTAAATACCCACTTCCCACTTCTCATGTACTTTCTCTGTCTATGAATATACGTTTAAGTGTTTATTTATATATACACATACACACGATTCATTTCCTCTTTCTAAGGCAAAAGAACATTACAAAATATCTATCTATATCCACTTTCAATCGAAATGGCTGATCAAAAACCTCTAATGATCTGGTCAGAGGCCAACAACTATGAATCATTCCTTCAAGAAGACATATTCTCGTTTCTTGATCAATCACTTTCCATCGATCCTCACAGGTAAGTCACAGGTAACTGTTTGATTAAACAAAAAAAAAACTGATTTGCTTGCGTTAGAAGAATCTAAAATGCTTTTTTGGTTGTTTTGAGTTTTTGCAGCTCTTTCATTAACCCTTTTAAGGATTTTCAAACCCAAACTTGGTTTTCTTTCCAAGACAGCATTGTTAATCCTATATCTACTACCTTTGCGGCTGATCATACGTTTCTGGCTTCACTTGATCTTGAAGCAATCTCTAGTACTTTCTCTCTAGGTATATATATACATATATGCATGTAGATATACACACACATATATGCAAGTTTGGATTGTAATTCTAATATTATATACATTGTGTAGCAGATATAATGAGTGGATGGTGGAATGAGAATAATGGTAACTACAATAACCAGGTCGAACCAATTCTTGATGATATTTCAAGAACTAATACCATGGGAGATCCAAAGATGGGGAAAATATTGCATGAAGATGTTAACACAACTATAAAAGAGAAAACAAGCCAGAAGAGGATAATTATGAAGAGGCGATATAGAGAAGATGGAGTCATCAATAGTTTGTCAAGGGAAATGATGAAGCAGTACTTCTACATGCCGATAACTAAAGCAGCCAAGGAGCTTAACATTGGTGTAACCCTCTTGAAGAAAAGATGTCGTGAGTTAGGTATTCCTCGTTGGCCTCACCGTAAGCTCACGAGCCTTAACGCTCTAATTGCTAATCTCAAGGTGCGTGCGTCAATAGACATATATACAATCGACTTGCTTATACATTTTGGGGTTATAACACTTATATATGTGATGGTCGTTTTGAAAGGACTTGTTAGGGAACACGGAGGGAAAAACGCCCAAGAGTAAGCTGAGGAACGCTTTGGAGCTTTTGGAGATGGAGAAGAAGATGATTGAGGAAGTTCCGGATTTGGAATTTGGGGACAAGACTAAGAGGTTAAGGCAGGCTTGCTTCAAGGCTAAATACAAACGGAGAAGGCTCTTCTCGTCTTCTTCATGAGAGCAAGAGCTCGTCTCTAGAGAGATCTAACCTTCTATGACTTAAGTTAAGTTTGGTACTATATGAGTCGTGTAGTAAGACCAAGATAAGAGTACTAGCTAGTCGTCTCTTTTGATTATGATCTAATTCTCATGAAACTTGGATCTATTCCAGTTTTTATTTTGACTTTTTGGTTTTCTAGTTGAATTGGTCTTTTACAACTAAAAAAATTCGAATGAATCCTTTTTCTTTTTGTTTTTATTTGATTCGATTTGGTTGCAATGTTTTTATAATTTATTAATGCACTAAAACAATTGTTCTTATTGGCGAAAAAAAAAAAAAAAAACAATTGTTCATATTGGGCTTAAATTAGTATTTGAGAAAGCCCAAACAAAGTAATAATCAGTCATGGCCCAATTTATCCACTGCACATCCCAATAATGAAACCGATAAAGATCAACGGTGAACTGATCAATTCATCATGAACATCGAAAAACTACAATTTTATGATGATCACTACTCACTTGAAAGAGTTACATATAACACAACTTGTATTTGGATATTAGAGACAAGAGAGAATCACAAACACACTCGTGACATACACGTGTCATGTCAAAGTCTCTGTCCATTTCACGGACAAGAGAAGACATCGCCACTATCAATCCACCGATAATCAGCATCGACGGTGGCTCCGTCATTAGCCGCGGTGGTGTGGAGAAGACTCTTGATTTTGTGAATACATTTGTGGTTGCGGATGCGGTTTAGAACGGCTCTTCTGTTCAGCGTTTGCGTTTGCGTTTGCGTTTCAGACGATATCAGATGTAGCTGCTTTGACACTACTTGCTCCTCTTTCAAACTCTCCTCTCCTTCCGAAATCACAAACTCCATTGTAGTAGAGATAAAAAGAAAAAAATAGAAAGCTTTTCGATTTCTTGTTGTTGCTTGTTGTTGATGGAACAAAGAAGATATTGTGTAGTAAACAACACACACTCGTGTGTATTTATATATATTAATGGATAGGTGAGACTTCGTATTCAGATAATTTTATAAGTTGTTTATTAAAAAATCTTTTTGGTTTTTAGTGGAAAATAATAGATAATACGTTTTTTTTTTTTTTTTTTTTTTTTTTTGGTAAAAATAGATAATACGTTGGGCTCTTGTCCCGTTGGTTCTGTGAAAACTGGTGGCTGATTTGGCATTTCATTAGTTTATAAGAAAGGGACACAAACTATGTGCTCTCCTACGTGCAATTCGCTTTCGCGTTGAATTAATCTATCCCCTTGCGATTACTGCCTTCTTAATGCCTTAAATGGAGTACTTTATTTTTGTCATGGCTTGCGTAACGACACATAACGACAATATATTTTACAATTAACATAATCATATTGATTTAATAATTACAACTACATTTTTCTATTCTCTAATTTTTCTAATAAATTAAACGGTATGAGTGTAGTATGATACATAAATACAGTATAGAAAAGGAATAGTCGAATGATAAAATAGCGTACTTTTTTTATAACATGTTTATCATTTTAATTATCACAAGTTTTACGTTATGAAATTACAAATTCACAAAAAAAAAGGCTAGGCCATCTTGAAGTCACACTAGTTTTGCTAAAAAGAGTAATTTTGTTTTAATTTCTGGAAAAGTTATGACACAAACGATCACCTCAATTAATGTTCAATCAACACAATCTTTTCAAAATGTTAGTAAGAACCATATAATTTGGAATTTGGGATAATTCTAACTGATTTACAAATATCTAAATTTGTGAAACTATATAATAAGAAATAACAGTAACACAAAAGATTCATAAAAGAAGCAAAAACATAACATAGAGTTGTATACTTTTAAGGTTACATAGCAAGAACTTGGTATTTATGTCTAGTCATAGTGGTAGGCAATCTCCCACTGACAATACGAACTTGAATCTCACTGCATCTCCCGTTACTTGGGACAATAAACTCAAATAGACACTTATGGGTCAGCATCATGTTATGGCTTTTACAGAAACACAACCATGATTCATGCGAGAACTTGACTCCTCTACCGTGATTCACAATCTTCAAAGACCACTTCTTTCCATTTTCATCACAAAGCTCAACTTCTTCCTCCAATTCAATCCCGTTCGATCTCAGAAAAGTTAACGGTATCTCCTAGCAACACATAGAAATTGATATTATGTAAACAACCATTATTAAGGTTAAGACAGATTTATAAAAAAGGTTCTTTAAGCTCACCAGTTTCTGAAGTGAAGCGATTGTGATATTCCTTAGAAAATGCGGATGCTTAGGTTTATAAACCGATTCTTCAAATCCATTCTGTTCCTTCTCAGGACACCATGATATGTCACAAGGATCTACATAACACCGAATGAAAAAAGTTAAAAAAACGCAATAATGTAAACTAAACCAAAAAAAAAAATGTTAATTACCTCCAGCCCGGTTAACTGTTCTCTGAGTCTTTTCACGATGATCCGGTTTATCGTTAACCAGAACACGAGGGTCTTCCTTAACCGAATCGAGTTTCCGCTTATTCCTCAGGCCACAATCTTTCATACGTTCCGGTTTAGTAAAAATATCAACCGGTTCATTCGCATCAACAGAAACCCTAGATCTATCCGTGGTTGTGACGACACCAATATCTTTTTTACACCCGTCTTTAGCGAAAATCGTAACGGAAAACCTCGAATCGCCGTCGTAGCGAAACACAAGAAAGTCTCCAAATTCAAGAGATTGATCGTTTGCGAAACTTTCCCAACCTTTTTTGAACAAAACACAGAATCTTTCTTCTGTGTCTTCTGTTTTTGTCTCGACACACCATAACCGTCCGATCTCATCGACTAAGAACGCTTCTTTAGGTAATTCCTTGTCTAATATGTCGATGAATGCAGGAGGAATCACCTGCAGATTTATTTTGTAAATTAATCTCCTTTAAAACATGCATGGAATATATTTTTTGATATTATATAAGAATTGACTGATGTGAGATATTATAGAAATATAGTACCAGTTCCTGAGAGCTGAATTCAGGGAGAAAGACCTTGAAAAATTCTAAGTCTTTACCAGCAGTTTCTTCAACCATGATTTCTTCTGTAGTTAGGGTTTTTGGTAGTGATTGAATTAAAACTAAAGAGGGTTATCAAGAAGATCACAGAAGCAAAATATCTTCTTGGAAAAGACGAGAGGATCTAACTTGTGTGATGTTCTCTTAAGTCTGACAAGGTTTTTGAGAGAGAGAGAGAGAAAAAGAAGGTCAAAAACTAATCATAACTAGCTTTCTCTGCCCTAGTTTCTTATTTATGTATGTGTAGAGCCTTTTAACTTGTGGTTTTTACAGCTTAACACCTTCAAAAACAATTTACCAAGGCCCATAAACTTACCAAATCGGGCCAATCCTGCCGATTTGGGTCGACTACAGACTCAATCAAGGAATCAACCACCTCACCAAAAACTACATTCCCTTGGAGGAGGATTGCTGGACTCGAACCACATAAGTACCATGGAATAGTCAACCATACTCTGCCGACCGAATCTCTAATTTTGTCCATGGCGTTGGAGGAAGTGAGAGGTCGGATAGGCCGGTCCTTTCAAGAGATGCATAAAACAAGCAACAAGGATTGGATGAGACTGAAGAGTTGTTTGGACGAGATCACATGCGCTTTGCTTGACGCCGATTTTCCTAGATTGGCCGTGGATGAGGTTGAGAGGAATAGTCAGGAAATTATCAATCTCCCTAAGGCGTCCAAGAAGAAGGGCAAACTAATCTACGAGGTAACGATTGATTCTTTGTAATATATATGTGCTCCTTCTTAGGGGGTTTCTTGATTTAACTAACTCCGAACCACCGCTTCAGGTGATGTTAGCTAAGCTATCTAGTAAGCTAGATCCGGGAAAATCTGCACTCATCCGGGGAAAGCTTGAACCTAGCATAGTCATGTTCATCGGATTACGAGGTCGGTTAGTCTGTGTTTTTGCTTGTTTTTAGTAAAACATGTTTGAGAAAATGTGAGTGTGTAGGTGTTGACAAGACCAAAACGTGTGCCAAGTATGCTCGTTACCACCGCAAGAAGGGATTCAGACCAGCTTTAGTGTGTGCTGATACTTTCAGGATCGATGCTTTTGTCCGGCTCAACAAGGCTGCGAAAGATGAGGTTCCACTTTACGGAAGGTATATATATTATTAGACAATCAAATTCTAATAATAAGTTGTCTTGCTCGAATTCACCTATTTGGGTTGGTTGGTTTCTTTTCAGTTACACGACAGATCCTGGAACACTTGCCGCTGAAGGAATCGCAAAGTTCAAGAACGACAAGCGTGACCTTATAATTGTAGACACCAGTGACCGGCATAAACAGTATTCCACATTGTTTGAAGAGATGCGCCTACTAGCCGAATCAATGGTGTGTTTTTGTTCTTCTTTTTTTATTTTCTTGTTGTTGATCATGGTAACCAGCTAACGTAGGCTTTTTTTGGTCTTTCTTATAGAATCCAGCTCGTGTTGTATATGTCATGGATAGCAGTATTGGTCAAGCTGCATTTGATCAAGCTCAAGCATTCAAGCAATGTTTCACTCGTGGAGTTGTCATTATTACTAATATACACGGCAACTCCAAAGCATGTGGTGCTATCAGCGCGTAAGCATTATACAAGTTTTGTTCTTTTCATTCTCTATAACATCATCTTGTGATCTCTTCTTCAAGTGCCTGATCTATTCATGCAAATGATGTTTTTTCTATGTTTCTTCATGTTTTCAAGTGTTGCAGCAGCAAAGTGTCCCATGATATTAGCTGAAACAGGAGAGAAGAGAGAGGATTTTGAAGCATTTGAAGCTGAAGCTTTTGTCAGGAGTCTCTTGAGTAAGCAAATTCCTTCATGTCTTAGCCTTCTCTGCTTTGGTTTCTCATTGATGAGTATGGACACTCATGATTGGTCCACTTTTGTGCAGAAAATCCATGGGATAAGCCCTATGAATATACTTTGAGACTAATGTATCATCATTATAGGCGAGAATTAGGATTGGAGAAAAATGTATAGTTTCATCTCTCAATAAACTCTTGTTAGTTATTATAGGGAATACAAGACATTGTAACTCGTAAGTTTCTTCCAAATTCTCTGTAGTTGCTTTCCCACCTTGGTCCGTCTAGTTGTTCGAAGCTAAACCACGAGAAGTATAGGCGGTACACGACAATAATGGAGTCCATGACAGATGAAGGTAATAATAATAATTATGACATGGTTATGGTTTATGGATCAAAACTTGTTTTTTACTCGATTGAATAATATTCTCGGTCAATTTGGCAGAGCTTGATAACCCAAACGTAACACAAATGAGCGAGGAACGGATGATGGAGATAGCTGAAGCATCAAAAGTAGATGTGAAACAAGTTGTGCAAATGATGATAACGTTCAAGATCAAGGCCAAGGGGGTTATGGAGCTTGAGGAGAGGAGTCGCAATGAATCTGATAGACCGCCCAAATTGCGCTTTTCCAACGTCTGAGCTTACAAATTATGCATAATATGCTTTTTGATTATTTGTTTGGATTCGTTACTAAGTATTTATATCAGATACGTATGTGTAAAAAACAAATAAATTTGTATAACTATGTGGTAATTTGGGTTGTATGGATAATGATCGGAAGACCAGTAGTGCACTGTACGTCTAGTTTTTTGTACGGTCGGATATTTTTCAATGTCCATGCTAAATCTAACAAGCATTTGTATCCAATTACTCGTTTCGTGATTAAAAATTCCAAAATTTATTCAAATTTATTTAAAATTGTTAAAAACTACTCCCTCCGTATTTTAATAATTGTCGTTTTAGAAATTTTATTTTTTTGAATTGGATGTCGTTTTCAAATTTTTATGCAAAATTTATTATTTTTTAATGTTTTATGATCATAAAACATTAAAAAATAATAAATTTTGCATAAAAATTTGAAAACGACATCCAATTCAAAAAAATAAAATTTCTAAAACGACAATTATTAAAATACGGAGGGAGTATATAAAATGATCTGAATTGACAACGCCTCTATATGATTGAGAAGGTTCGATTTTTGAAGCTCTTATGATAAAAAATCCCTGAGACGCAAAAACCCTGTAAACCCCCAAATAACCGGAGGAAATGTTGAGCAATCTCTCTCGGACCTTCTTCCGTCATAATTGTCGTTTCCGGCAACAACAATGTCGCCGTTACAAGCCTCCGAAGTCTCCACCGCCTCCTCCACCACCACCAGCGTTACCAAAACCGCCGAAGAAGCCTCAAACTTTCACCTTCCACGACGCGACGTGGGAGGATCCCTACAGTTGGATGTCTAAGCTGGAAGATAAAGTGGCGATGAGGCATATGGATATCTATATGGAGCAAGAAGAGAAGTATACCGAAGCTGTTTTGGCTGATACTGATCGGATTCAGACCAAGCTTCAGTCTGAAATGGCTTCTCGTTTGTCCTTTGAGCTCTCCACGCCTCCTCTTCGTTGGGGACCTTGGTGGGTCAATTGAATTCAACAGATTCTCTTGTTTAGCATCGTTTTGAGAGTAAAGCTTGGATTTTTCTATCTGTAGACTCGTCGATTAGTTTGAAAGTTTCGTCCTTTTTGTGGCAATTGCGCATTGATTTAGTTGAATTAATGGAATTAGGTTGTATTATAGACGGGTTGAAGAAGGGAAGCAGTATCCAGTACTATGTAGGAGGCTAGCGAGCTTGCACGAGGAGTTCATTTCTCATAAATCTCCTGCTGCAGGGTTTGATTACACATCTGGGAAGAGGATTGAGCAGAAGCTGCTTGATTACAATCAGGAAGCTGAGAGATTTGGAGGTAAATAAGCATATTTGAGGCTCTTATACTTGGGGCGGATTAAGAGGGATAAGCAATTTTGTTGTCTCTTTTTGTAGGTTATGCCTATGAAGAAATGTCAGAGATATCCCCTGACCATAAATTTCTAGCATATACTATGTATGATAAGGACAACGATTACTTCAAGTTGTGTGTGAGAAACTTGAATTCTGGAGCTTTATGTAGTATGCCTCACGCAGATCGTGTCTCAAACATAGCTTGGGCAAAGAATGGGCAGGCTTTGCTCTATGTCGTTACTGATCAGAAAAAACGGCCATTCAGGTTTCATATGATCAGTTTTTTGGTTGTTTGGTTCTACCACAAATTGCCTGTGTGAATCTTCTTTTTGTTCTGTTATCAGGATATACTGTAGCACGATCGGGTCAACGGATGAAGATGTTTTGCTTCACGAAGAACTCGAGGGAAATGTTCATGTTAACATAAGACATACAAAAGATTTCCACTTTGTAACTGTAAATACATTCTCTACTACGTTTTCAAAGGTGAAAGCTCCAAATTGATCTGCTAAAAGCTTTAATTTTTATTGTTTTTGAATGACTTGGAATCATAACAAGTACTCTGTCTTAGGTCTTTCTGATAAATGCAGCTGACCCATTTTCTGGTTTGGCATTGGTTTGGGAACACAATGCTCCAGCCCACTGCATAATCGAGCATCATCAGGGATTCCTCTACTTATTTACAGATGCTTCCAATGACGGTGGAACACTCGACCATCATTATCTTCTTCGAAGTCCTGTTCACTTCTCTTCCAGTCAAAGGATCTGGGAGGTTGGTTCAGCTGATTCAGTATTTGTTTTCATCTGCTGATTAGTATTATACTTCATTCTGATTTGTATGTGTTCCATCTATTATTTGCAGACAGTTTTTGTCGACAACCCTGAATTAATCATAGAGGATGTTGATTTCTGCAAAACACATCTATCCCTCATTGTGAAGGAAATGCAGAGCTTTAAAATTTGTGTGGTTGATCTACCTCTTAAGACAGAGCGGGTAAAGCTTACTCCACTTAGTTACTTTCATCGATCAGATTGACGCTCTTGAATAAATTTGACCATGCCTGTTTTTATATAAACAGGTACCTGTCCATCTGAGAGATATTAAACCTCGTTATCTTCCTCTTCCGAAGCACGTTTCCCAAATCTTTCCTGGCACAAACTACGACTTTAATTCTCCAACAATGCGGTTTACAATTTCTTCTCTTGTGGTAGGAGAACAATTCCTCTTGCTATTTCTGCTTCCGTAGATAGTTTTTTTTGTTTGAGTTTTAGATACTTTTGGCCTGCAGATGCCTGATGCAGTGGTTGATTACGATCTATTAAATGGGAAATGGAATATAGTACAGCAGCAAAACATGCTTCACGAAAGAACACGGGTTTTATACGGCACTGCAAACTCCACCGAGAGCCCTAATATACCCTCAGGCACCAGAACTGTCAGTTTTGATACTGAGGATACTACTGCCGACAATGACAACTTGTGGAATGACTTGACCGAGTTTTACGCCTGTGATTACCATGAAGTCTCTTCTCATGATGGAGCCATGGTTCCATTAAGTATTGTTTACTCAAGAGCTCAGAAAGAGGAGAATCGAAAACCTGGTCTTCTTCATGTTCATGGTGCTTATGGTGAAATGCTTGATAAAAGATGGCGTAGTGAACTTAAAAGCCTCCTTGATCGTGGCTGGGTACTTGCATATGCAGACGTTAGGTAAGTACCATCTTCCTCTTCTCGTTCAGAACAGGCTTTCGACAGCTAGAAGCAAAGACTTCCTTCATTATATCCATTGTTCTCGGTTTTTTTAGAGGTGGAGGAGGGAAAGGAAAGAAGTGGCATCAAGACGGAAGAGGAGCGAAGAAACTTAACTCCATTAAAGATTACATTCAATGTGCCAAGTTCCTTGTTGAGAACAATATAGTAGAAGAAAACAAGCTTGCTGGTTGGGGATACAGTGCAGGAGGACTCGTTGTTGCTTCAGCTATCAATCATTGCCCTGATCTCTTCCAAGCTGCGGTTCTAAAGGTTATCAGAAAACTGTGGATCACAAATACATTGAGGCATTGACTGATAAGGAAACCTTTTAAAATCATAAATTGTTTCTTCTGTTCCAGGTTCCTTTTCTTGATCCAACTCATACTCTAATATATCCGATACTACCATTAACGGCAGAGGATTACGAAGAGTTTGGATATCCAGGAGATATCGATGATTTTCACGCCATACGTGAATACTCACCTTATGACAACATTCCTAAAGATGTTCTCTATCCAGCTGTTTTAGTCACTTCCTCATTCAATACTCGGTAAGTATCCATTCTTCTAATTTGGCGACTCTATCAATATTTGAGATTTAAGACTGAGATTTCTTCTCTCGCATTGTTAGATTTGGTGTATGGGAAGCTGCAAAATGGGTTGCAAGAGTCCGTGACAATACCTTTCATGACCCGACACGCCCAGTCTTACTCAATTTGACTACTGACATTGTCGAAGAAAACCGGTTCTTACAGACTAAGGAATCTGCATTAGAAATCGCATTTCTCATAAAAATGATGGAATCTTGAAAAGAATTAAGTTTAGATATGGCCAGCTATTTAGATATTTCTTCTGGTTCTAAAATTTGGATATGAATCAATGAATTGTGTGACACAAAGATAGAAGAGAGATGAACAGTTACAATATGCAGACATCTGAAATCGTGTCTGAGATCATCTCTGCTCACATAACTTCCCAAAATCATACAAGAGAATCATCTCAGATAATAACAAATAAGTACAGTAAAGGAAGTGTTGGAAAAAATGTATCCATTGCTCATGTCTTTTAAGTTTCTGAAGAGTCCTCTTCTTCAATAACTGTTGGGAGTGTCCCCTGTTTAGCAAAACCTGGACTCAAGAACTTCGCCACGAAATTCCATAATCTGTAAACATCTTCAAAGTTTGTCAAGAACCCAAGAGAAGCTGTGACAACCTCAACTCTTATGAACCCATTGTTTCTTTCATCTCGATCCACCGGTTTCCAAGAACTTGAATCTTTGCTTCGACTATCGATGATCTTTATGTGACTGAGGTAACCAATGCCTAGAGATATGCCTTCTCTTTCAGCTAGTTTCTGCACTATCTCAGGATGAACCATTCCACTTTTCAAATCCCTGACATTGAATGCCACGGAAGATCCACGCTCGTATTTGATCTTTGGACCGTAAATCTGAACAAGATTCTTGTGATCTCCATCTGAATCTGATTTAGGCAGCCTTAACTGGAGCAGAGAGGTCACAAGCCAGTTAATGAGGTACCGGAGTCTTGAGGTGGTTTTGTTGAGACCTAACATGTTTACATGATCAATGTGCCTGCAAACAATCTCTGGTTCTCTCTGATCATCATCCCATTCTACTCCATTGCTTCCATCTTCTTCCTCATCTTCATCCCCAAGACTGATAACAGATGCTTCTCCATGATCTACTGATCTAAACGATACTCTTCGTTTACTGGGATGTTCATCTTCATTCACAAGAAGTCTCCCACCATTGTACTGACTCTTCTCCCTTCTTCCTAACAGCCTAAATTCGCCTTCGGTTTCTCTTCTTATCGCACTCTCTTTGATTCCAGAGCTCGAACCATTTCCATTTGCATTAGCAGTTAGCTTACTGCTCCCACCTTCTTCTTCTTCTTCTTCTTCGATCTCATTAACCCGTAACCGATGACTTGTGTCTATCGGATTCATTTCAGTTTTTTCTTCTTCTGAGACTTCGTCACCCACTTCATGTGATACTGACAAAACAGCAGCATCGAAAGAGAGAACATGCCTCCCACCGTTGCTGCCATTATTAGCCTTTGAAGCTGGTTTTGGCGAGATTCTTCGTTTGTGGTTTTTGGGAACCAATAAGGGACTCTTTTGCTTGTTCAGAGGACCTGCATTATCAGAATCAGCAGGACTCTGACCCAAATCAATCCAGAGCGAGCTATCCGATGACTCGTCTTCGCTGAAAACCGGACTTTTAATCAATTCACCCACTGAGATACTCTCAGCTTCCTCAAACACAGTGCTTGTGTTATCTCTATCAGAACCAATTTCATGATCCATATCTGTCTCAAAGACATCCTGCACCTGAGCAGAAGTATATGCACCGGAAAAAGCGGGTAATTGAGTTCCCAAGGCTTTCTTATCTCCATTAATAGCAATATCATTATCTTGAATCCCAGTCAAACCTTCCAAGCCATCCATGGAGTCACTTAGATACAGAGGATACTCAGGTGTTATCTTCACAATTCCCGAACTCGTTTTCCCAGATTGACTCTGCAAGCAGCTAATCACAGATTTCTTAATCAACAGACACCCAAATCCAGTTGGATCATACCCAAACACACGATAAAACGAAGTGATGATAAAATCCGGTCGAAACAAAGACAACCCAAGCGAGTCCATGTCTTTAGGACCCAAAGCACCAGCGTCAAGCAAGACATGCCAGTTGTTTTGCTGAGCCAATGCCATCCACTGGTAAGAGTACTTAGACCCCGTGACCCTTGATTGGACTGGAAACACAAACAAACCAGTTGCAGAATCCTTCTTCCTCTTCTTCTTACTCAATATCTCCTTCTTAAGATCCATTGAACACAGCCTAAGCGTAGGCCACTTAAACCAGGCGCTACCAACCTTTGCACCTTTCTCCTTCGCACACTGACCCATCCAACTAACCGACTGGCTCTCGTGATCAAACATAGTCAGAAGCTTCTTGTTTGTGTGGAACGGATAAGACTCTGCAAGCAACTTGAACGCAGAGCCTCTACTAACAGTGAACACAAGACCATACTCATTCTCAGGGATGTTCAAGTAATCCATTATCCTAATCTTGATATCATGTTCAATAGATCCTTTCTCAGCACCACCATATATAGCATGATTACTTAGATTGGCACTAATCTCAGACAAACTAAAAGTGCAAGTGTCCCAGTAATGAACTGTTTGAAGATACGAGAACAACCCAAATCCACAATAGTCAAGACATACCTTTGGTAACGATAAGTGGAAATACTCATCGTTCCTCAATTCATCAACTTTCTCAGAAGATTGATACTTTGGATACATGGTCAGAAACATGTCAAGAGCTTCTTCAAGCTCAGGTAAAGTTTCTTCTGATTCAAATGCTCTTTGAGCTGCGAGTGATGTAGCACGCAAGAACTCTCGTTGAGCGTTGAGTCTAGCGAGTGATCTAGACCGTCCAAGACTTTGATCTTGAGACTCGTCTTCTTCTTCCATGTCTTGAGATTTAACGAGTAACCCATCTTCAGATGCTTGTTCGAGAGCTTCCCTGAGCTTAGATTCATGGAGTTTCCGCTGAGTCACATCTCGATTCCTGCTGCTGCTACTACTACCACTGCTCTTCTTGTCTAGTACTAGTGCAGCAGCACAGTGATAAATTGGCTTCCAAAGTGAGATATGCATCAAATCCCTAATTTTTCTCAAGATTGAACCCAAAGTTTGGCCTTTTTCTGAAACCCTAATCAAATTGGAACAAAAAAGGTCCCAAATTTAGAAACCTCGGATCAAAAGAAACAGAACCCAGAAACCAAAATCACACCACTGAATTGGCTTCGATTTCAAATCCCAGATCAAGTAAAAAAAATCAAAACTTGAAGAATTAGGTAAGAGAGAATCAAAAAGTCAAAACCTTTGTCCCATCTTGAACAGACAAACCAAGACAAGAGACCCAAATCCCAAAAAAAAAAAAAAAACTCAAAAGAAAATTTGATGAGAAACACAGAGAAGCTTCATGTTCTTCGTCTCACCAAACATAAGAGAAAATTGTCACTCCTAACAATACAGAGCAAATTCTGAGCAATAATCTCTCTGTCTCTGGTTTGATAATCTTCCCTTAAAAGTGACTAAAATGCCATTTGACTTTTTTTTTCTTATATGTCAATCAAGTGCCTAATCTTTGCTGTTACTTGCTGTTCCAATTCCAATATATCATTTTTTTTCTCATATAATTAATCAAATTATATTCAATCCACGCATCATAATTATATGCTTATTTGAATTTTTAATACAATATTTTGATATCTTTTGGTGATTGGTTTTGATTTTGGGACCCATGAAAGCTTCTTTCTTTGCTCTTTTTCTTTACTGTTTAATTGTTTATTTCTCTCCATTGTTTTGAAAGCTCTTCAATGTTTTTTTAGCTGGCTTTGTGCAACTATCTAAAGATCCTCCCTTTTCTTTTTTACTTTTATTTAATTTTGTCATGCTAATTCTCTTTTCTCAATCGTTTGGTAATCAACTTATACATTTATTGAAAATAACTAATATCGTTTTTGTGTGTTGAATATATTGGATTTAGCTAAGCTGTGTGTTGTTGACAAAAGAACTTTAGCTGTTCTTTTACTACTCTACATAAAAGCTAATTAAACTAAAAATTAGCCGTTGAGATGTTATTTCCTTCAATCCAAGTGGACTTCTTTTCTTATATATTTTCTTTTGTATTTCTCTGTAAAGAGCTCTAAATTACGTAATTCGTCTGCTTCACCGATATTTTTCTATATCTGTCTGAAACGGTTTTGAACAAGTAAATAATAAATATCCCAATTTATGATCCAACCCACGCATTTATTGATTGTAGTTATAACAGAACAATATTGGCTCATAAAAATGGCCAAATTTATAAATAATACTCCCTCCGTTTCAGTTTAGTTGTCGTTTTAGGATTTAAATTTTGTTTCATAATAGTTGTCGTTTTAGGTTTTCAATGCAAATGTTTGGTGAAAATTCCAGTTTTATCCCTACTGTTTTAATGTTTTGGCCAATGAAATTTTTTATAAAATATATTAATAAAGGGTAAAACATAAAATTTAATGCTTTTCTTAATTTGTGTGAAAAAACCTTAAACGACAACTAAAACGAAACGGAGGGAGTATATGTCTTTATTTAAAATAAATATTAAATATTAGTAGGTGATGTGGGGGCTCAACAATAGTGTAATTTAATATCCATATCTATAACATGTGGATCCACACAAATACTTTTTTATTTTTTAAAAAAGAAGTAAAAATTATCATATTATTGTAAATTCTTGTTAACTTCTTATGCACAATTTTTATTCGTAGTTAATAACTTCTACGTTATTGCAAATCTGAAAACTGAATTAAATTAATTAATGTAGAAATGAAGGCAAGGGACAAACGTGTATTTGATTGTATAACTTATAAAACCTTGCTTAATGGTATCAAATCCAAACTATGCTTACTCATGCAATGATTAGTCAACTATCTATCTGAAATTACATATTCACCCTTGATTAAATCATTTAATTTTGACTACTCAAACTTTTTCATAAAGTGGCTTTCCAGCAAATTCTCGACGTATTTTAATTATTTTCTTACATGATTTTTCTAAATGAAACAAGTTTGAAATTTCCTATATCGACTGTGTGCATAGTTATAAACACATACATAGAGACAAACAAAAGAGCAATAACATATAGACGGGAATATGACGTTCACTTCTCCGACCGTGGAAATAAACACAACGGAAGTGGAGACGCACGTCGCACCAATTTCATGAGTAGAGAAGTGATATCTTTTGGCACATTTATTCTCGTAGTGTTTTTAATCATATCTCTAATTCATAAATAATCTTGAACTCAAGAATCTAAGTTTGACTCGAGAAGAAGGGTAAGTTTTGAAAAAAAAAAAAAAAGGGTAAGTTTTGGAACAATTTTCGCCGCTAATTTGATATTTTAAAGTTCTATACAATATACAATTTATTATCCAAAGTTTCGTACATTATTTCAACTATACAGTTTCTCCAACTTGGTTTGTATATTCAACAACTAAAGAATTTGAAAGATCTTTCGTTCCGAAAATATATCGTTGTTTTCATCATAACAAGGCAAATAAATATGGAGATGATTTGCATATGGGCTTCGTTTATACTTCCCTTGTTCTTGGTCCCCAGAGAGTCTTCTATATTTTCTCCAACAACTTTGAAAGTCATAAATAAAACACAATATATTATTTCTTTGTTAATGCGTTTTCTTGTAGCTTTTATTTGTTTTCGTAATTATTGTTTCCTTTTATTGCCATGTAATTATTGTTTCAAATTTATTTATTTTGAATATTTAATTTCTTGGCACCTTTTACTATTATGATGATGACCAAGTTTTCACTTTCAAAATGGGACACAGATCGTGGTTTTAGATGACCATGCATCAATAAAGTTATTTCCAGCTTTGAATATTTTTCATAATGGGATGTTTGGTGAAACATGCACAAACACAACATAAAAGCCATATAATTAGGGACTTATAATAAAGAACTATTATTGCATGTTTTCTTTACACTGTCATGTCAGATTTCATATAATTTTAATCAAATTACATCACAGTATCAATATATGTAGAAGAAATATATCAACTGTTTGCCTACCAAAATCTGAGGGTGGCCTTGGTCTTAGAAGATTCTCTGAATGGAACACTGCGCTTAATTTGAAACTTATTTGGTTACTCTTCTCCAATGGCGGTTCTCTTTGGGTTGCTTGGCACTTGTTTCACCATTTAACTTCCTCTGTTTCAAATTTTTGGTCAGTCCAGGAGGGTGCTTTCGATTCTTGGAATTGGAGATGTTTACTTCGTCTCCGTCCTCTTGCACAAAAGTTCATTACTTGTTCTCTTGGTAATGGTCTCACTGCAAGTTTCTGGGGAGATAATTGGACTCCATTTGGACCTTTGATCAATTATCTTGGTAGTGAGGGTCCAAGAATCCTGAGGATCCCTCTTTCATCTAAGGTTGCTGCGGCTGTGAATGGAGACCGTTGGATTCTTCCATCTCCAAGATCGAGCAATGCAGTAGATGTCCATACTTTTCTCACAACCATCACCTTACCTTTCCAGCTCACTGTCGAGGACTCTTATAATTGGTCAGTTGAAAAAAGCAGTGGTATTGTCTTCTCTTCAACTGATACATGGAATGCTTTAAGGCATAAAGAGGAGGACAAGTCTTGGGCGTCTTCTGTTTGGTTCAAGGGAGCCACGCCTAGAAACTCTTTTAATATGTGGATTTCTAACTTGGATAGGCTGCCCACGAAAATGAGAATGATTTCTTGGGGTTTATTGGTTTCTCCGGTTTGCGGTCTTTGCCAAGTCAATTCTGAAACTAGAGATCACCTTCTGCTGACATGTGAGTACAGTGTTATCATCTGGACTCTCGTTCACCAAAGACTCAGGACGCCATCACGGATTTTCCACAACTGGACAGATCTGATCATTTGGACCAAGAGGAGAAGTAGCACCTCTCCTGCAACGCTCCGGAAGGTTGTAGCTCAGGCCGTCATCTATGCTTTGTGGAAGCAGAGAAACAACTTCATTCACAACTTGCAGTTCATACCCGCGACAATCATCTTCAAGAACATTGACCGCGAAATTATCAACACCATCAATGCGAGGAGGCATCAGAAAAACTTCAGGAACCTTATGGGTTTTTGGCTTTTTTGAAGCAGGTTCCTTCGAGTATAGTTTAATCCATATTTCCTTGTTTTTTAACTTTTTTTTTGGCAAGGATCTACTTGTTTTTGGTAATCAAAATGTAATTCCAAAACTTTCTTCATTTATATGATATTAACCATTTAGCAAAAAAAAAAACTAGAGAGTCTTGATTAGTTAGCAAAAGAGAGGATAATTAGCCCAACAATGTTTTTTTTTCCCACGTAAGTTTGTAGTTGTAACCAATGAAATGGGTCATAACAAAATCCGCCCATATCTGGTTTCATTTCATAGACTCGGCTTGGGGTTTGTCAAATTCACATCTAAATACAACAAAGTCACAATGATGAAAAAAAAAAAAATACAACAAAGTCACAAATCTCATATGTTAAGGCCCATGGTCCAAGCGGCATACATCATTAAGAGAATTAGGCCCATTAGAAATACGAACTGGAAGATAAACAAAATGACGAAAACACCCCTTTTAAAAGGAAACAGAGAAGGACTGAGACTCAGAGAGGAAAAGGACAAAAAGAATGGGATAAAGAGAGAAGGTGTGTCAGAATTTGACCAGATTAGACCGGTCGGTACACAGAGTAAGGACGGCTCTGAACCAGTGTAGACACGTCTTGGCACATACTTCTCACATGTCTCTCTCTAAAATGTTGGGATGCTTTTTGGTGTGAAAGGGAGTGAAGATTTGCATGCTTCTTAACTCTTTAGCTTCTCTATATCCATTCTTTACCCGACAACCTTCGCTTCTGTCTCTTCACAAAACGAATCTCTTCTGACCGTTTTGGCCTCCCCTATTTTACTATTACGACCCTCTTCTTTCCTTTGGGACAAATCACAATATTTGTCACTCTCTCTCTCTATGTACCTTAAAGATCCATTTGTCTTGTTCCGCAAGATCATGTTTAGTCAGAATTCATACGATTATTGTTATTCTGTTTTCATGGTATTGTCTAGATTTTTACTTTTTATAGCTCCTAAACAACATAAGATTTATAATCTATTATTACTATATATGATAATTGTACATGGTAAAGATTATAAATAAATTGAAAACATTGTCTTTTTATCTGATGCATAAGACCATAACAAACCATAAAATTGACAATCAAGTTGGTTTAACGTAAAACTGTTGAATACTTTTATTTGATGTTTTAAACGTAGTTTTTTTAGGTTCTGAACCTGTAGTGATTGGTTGCACATCTACACACACCATCAATCTCTTAGGTCCATCCATACCATTTATTCTTCTTTTTTTTGGAAAAGATGCACACAACAACCAGAAATTATTATCTTCAACTAAGTAAATTAGGCTAATTAAACATAAGCCCTTGACAATATAATGGTTGAATTATTGGGAACTGCTTTACATCGATAAGCTCAATAGGCTCCTACATGTTGCCTACCCTATTCAGAGTTCAGTCTTCACTTCCCGGTAGACACGTACTTTTGACATTCACATCTCCATTTTTAAGACAAAATATTGCTTGTATACACCTATTTCAACTCTTAACTCAGAAATTCAAAGCGTATACAAGCTAAACTCCATAATTAAAATTTAAACTTCAATAGCTTCTTTAGTCTCAAGCAAATGTGGTCATGATTTTTCTCTCTTCTCTATCATAAGTTCTTGACAATTTTGGTTTTTCTTTCAACATTCACCAATGTCTATAATTGTTTTTATATATGCCAACAAAACGTGTAACAGATTATGGATAGAGAGATTAGAGAATCGTGGGTTTCTTTCATAATTTTCAAAACAGAAAATCTTGAAAGAAGAGCCACCTACGTATAATGAAGTAAAGAAACAGAGCATATCTTTCTCTCTCTATGTTCACAATAAACCCAACACTCTCTGTCAAAAAGCTTCACTTTCTTCTCCTTCCCCATCTCTCTCTCCATAAAAGGAACCTCTTACTCTCTCACAAACTTCCAACCTTTAACACTTCAAAGCTTCAAAAACTCTTAACTTTCGACAAGCTCTCTCTTCTCAACAACATGCCTTCTGAATTCAGTGAATCTCGTCGGATTCCTAAGCTTCCTCACGGCGGAGCTGTTGCGATTCCGACGGATCAACAAGAGCAGCTTTCTTGTCCTCGCTGTGAGTCAACCAACACCAAGTTCTGTTACTACAACAACTACAATTTCTCACAGCCTCGCCATTTCTGCAAGTCTTGTCGCCGTTACTGGACTCACGGAGGTACTCTCCGTGACATTCCCGTCGGTGGTGTTTCCCGAAAAAGCTCAAAACGTTCCCGGACTTGTTCCTCCGCCGCTACCACCACCGTTGTCGGAAGCCGGAACTTTCCCTTACAAGCGACGCCTGTTCTTTTCCCTCAGTCGTCTTCCAACGGCGTTAGCACGACGTCGAAGGGAAGTGCTTCGTCGTACTACGGCGGTTTCACCTCTTTGATCAACTACAACGCCGCCGTGAGCAGAAATGGGCCTGGTGGTGGGTTTAATGGGCCAGATGGTTTTGGACTTGGGCTTGGTCACGGGTCGTATTTTGATGACGTGAGATATGGGCAAGGAATAACGGTCTGGCCGTTTTCAAGTGGCGCTACTGATGCTGCAACTACTGCAAGCCACGTGGCTCAAATACCCGCCCCGTGGCAGTTCGAAGGTCAAGAGAGCAAAGTTGGGTTCGTGTCTGGAGACTACTTAGCGTGAGAGAGACTTTCACAGTAGCTTCTCTACCTCAATCAGAGGGTTTCAATCTCACTTCTTCTTTTTTAGCCTCTACCCTAACTTTCAGCTTTAGTTTTATCTCTTGTAGTGGATGTGGTTCTTTTTTAGTTAGGTTACTTCTGAACGAAACTACAAATTAGAGAAACGTTTGTTTGTGTGTTTGTTTTTGGCTCTAATTAATGTCAATTCCATCTTTGGAAAACAGAACAGTCCACTTATCTAGGAAATGCAAGTCAGAAATTTGTATTAGTTTGCTACATTGCGTTTACACAAACAAAAAGATAATGACAATTCAAGAACGTGATCCTTTTTCATGTTTTAGATTCTTATTATCGAGCAGCTAAGTCGAGGAAACAACAAAAACAGAGAAAACATGTGAATCACTTATTTACACTAAAAAACTCCGTAACATAACATATCTAAGGCAACATTATCCATCCACGAGAAAGAGGATTGAGAGGAAGAGAGGCAAGTGTTGAGTTTAATATATATATATATATATATATATCTACACAGAAAATGCAACTAGGAAAGTGTTGATTGGAGTTAGGCTGCACCAAGTAAACATCAAGTGTATATGTACCAAGTTAAGTGGGGAAAATGGAATTAGCCGAGCATCGATGGATGGCCACTGTGGAGTATCCTCTTGAACATATCCATCCCAAAGGCTGAGTCCGATGAGCTGAAATAAACTCAATTCAATTAACACTTTGACAACAAAATATCAAGAAAAATCTTCACTCATCTATGTTCGTGGGGATTGCTGCACCTAAAGATAGTCTTAACTGTCCATTTCGACATGACCTGTAAATAAGATCTCTAGAAAATAGTTTGATAAGTGAATAAGAGGAGACTGATGTACCTTGGGATAGTGATCTCAAAAGGGCAGTAGATTACACCATCGTTAATGGGAGGAACATGATCCTTCTTCTCATTCACGAATTTTATGATTTGGAACAAGACTTCCTGAAGGGACTGCTCAAGCAGTGTCCTACGAGAACTTCTCTCCTCAGATGCCTCTACAGTTATTGGATTAGAGCATGACAATTAATTCCCACTCAACGGTTTAATTTTTGGAGATGAGAAAAGGAAATTTCATCAATCTTACCTCCAGGGTCCATAACTAGTTTAGAATGGTGAGACTTTCCGACTGGGGGCTTAGCGGGCTGAAGCACATTCAGATTGATGTACCATTGTTCCCAGTACAACCGTTCGATTTTGTTGGTGAACCAAGATGGCTGTTTGCTTTTGACTTCATAGAACGATAGACATATCTTGGCAAGGACATAAGAAAAGAAGAAGAAGAAGAAGAAGAGATCATTAAACAGCCACAAAGGATGAGACAATGAAAAGGATTAGACCATCACATAAAGAATATATGAGCAGGTATGCGGTTCACTTTCAAAGGAAGTCTATCGATACAATGTCAATGAAATGGAAATCAAGTATTTGCTATACCTGACTCTTCTTGTTTGGGTGTTTCTCAATCCAGTTTACGAATTGCTCAATCTTTTCATCAATTTTCTTTTCCACTTCTATTTCACCGCATTGTACCTGTGACATATGGGGAAAAAAAAAGAAAAAACCCACCAATATATCAAAATCAAAGCATACTCACCCTTCTGTATCATAACAAAACCATGGAGAGGAGAGAAAGAAACAGAAATCTTACGTAAGTGATCTCAAAAAGCTCCAAATCAATATCTTTAGGGCGGATAAGACCAAGCGCACGATGAAAGACAATGGTATGTAGAATGCCTGCACCAAATTACACATTATCAGATTTAAAGTTACACAGAATTTTAAAAAGACAAATTCTACAACCAAATCAGACAAGAAGAAGTTGAGCACCTACAAATTTCACTCAAGCTATTCAGATTCATGTATAAAATACACATAATTGATCTCCAAAACTCAAAATTCCAATCAATGTCTACAGGTCTAAGCCTGAGAAAGAAGACCTAATCTGGGATCTAAAGCACAAGATCTTAAACTAAAACATGATTAGATCCGTAAGATCCGATTTTGTTTCCATACCAAAACAACGAAACTGGATACAGAAAGCATGTTAAGTGTCGGAAACTTACAGCGCAAAACTTCGCGAATCTCGAAGGATTCCACTTCCTGCGAAAAATATACAAATATCGTTACAATCAAAAATTTACGCTGTGGAACAATTCCAGAAATAGAAACACGACTCGATGACTACAAAATTTGACTGATTTTTTAGCAAAAAGAAGAAGAAGACGAGATTTTATACCAGTTCCTTTAGCTGACAAACTTCGCAATTCATATTCACCGAAGCAAAAACTCGAGTAAGAGAATTTTCCGATTTCTCTAGATTTCAGATCGTGTTGTTGAAACTTGGAAGCAACTAAATCCCCTCTTTTTTTTCTCGCCGATTGATTTCGGCAAATCCCATGGATTTGGACAAACTTTTTATAAGCTTCATCATTTCTTCAAAATTACTCCTTCTCGTATTGGGCTTATATAGGCCCATTTATTTTATTTGACATGGCCCATTTCTTATGTAGAGTATACTACTTTCCTATATAAGCCCCTATTTACGAGTCCCCTTACCAAGACACACCAATGGTTGAAGTCTCTAATGTTTGATGATGTGATGATAATACTAGATTACATGTACGATTTGCGTTGTTTTTTTATCCACAATGGGTTGATTCTGAGGAGGGGATTCTTTAGGAAGCTTACTCGTAAGACCGAGAGAGATTTCGATTAGAAAAAAAGAACACATGAATAGAATTGTATAGAGCAAGGTTATTATAAAACTCCAATCTAGCCTACCAGTGAACCATAACTTTCCTCTTCCCTTTAAGTGTAAATAGCCAGCAGCCATACTCTCATGACCAGAAAGAACAGACCAAATTGAATCGAAAAAACCTTTTTAAGTAAATAACTTTAAGAAAGAACAGAGGAAACTATAAGAGGATCTCTCTAAAGGTGTCGTCCAACAGCTTTGCCACAGAATTGAAGATTGTCAGGAGGATTGTATTCATTGGCAAGACTCTGCACTGGATTCCATACTTTGAGATAAAACTGTTGTCCTGAATATTGTCTTTCCCATATCGCTGATCTCATATTCCACATCCCTTGATTGTCCAAAGACACCAAGATTGTTGTCCAAGACTTTGGGTAGACCTGCATTTATCCCATAAATTACAACACATCAAGAAACAAATCATAGTTTCTGACTTTTTTTTCTTGTTTTATCGATGTTTTTACCTGAGTAGTGTGTCTGGTAAGAGCATCAACAAGATTGTAGAGTGATCTTTTTGCAGGTGTCCATTGTCCAGAACCAAATCTAGATTCATAAGAGAGAAACGTTAGCAAAAATCTAACTTGAGTTTAGAAATAATAGTTATGAGCGGTGACAGAAGAAGACTCACCCAACGACCCAGAAGTCATATCCGTCAAGATGCCAAGACTGCATTGATTTCTCATTGTTCTGAAACACAATTTCAAGGAAATCATGGAGAGATGTTTGAACAACTGATGTTGCAACAGTTGGAGGAGAGTTAGAAGGGACGCTTTGAATGGCGTTGGTGCTGAAAACTCCACTGATTCCAAAGTGATCAGCGAGTTTAAGAGGCGTCTCTGAGTTCACATAAGAGACTCCATTGACTGCATATCTTTGCTTTCCATTAATTAAAGGAGCTGAATTTGAGAAGACAAATGACTTCGTTGGAGTGATCATTCCATAGTGGAATGATCCTTGAGGGTTTGGTCTAGCTGCATTTGCTGTTAAGTTCCACCTACACCCCAAGAAGTAAACACCATTCATAATCTATCCTTCAGATTAAACATTTCTACGTTCTTTATAAGTAATTGATCTTGTACCTGAATGTTCTAGCTTGTCTCATCGACCAAACAAGCTCTCCAGGTGGAAGAGCAGGCTGATCACCAGAAGCTGGGACGCGGGAGTTAGAATAACGCAACAAACCTATAACAGAAACTTTGCTTCTAACGAACCGGGTGCTTGCGACGATGTAATAATCTCTAGGAGATTGGTTTAAAGTAACAAGAACAGCTAAAGACTGGCCAACATGAATGTCAAGAGAATCATAATCAGTTTGAATAACATGAGAGCCTTCAACTTCAACTACTTTCATGGTATGTCCTTGGATTCTGAAATTGAAACTGCTTGATAAACCAACATTGGAGATTCTGAACATATAAGTCTTCCCTGAAAGATTAAACCATACACACAAAGTAAAAACAAACAGAACCAATTCACTCAAACAACACAATTCATGGAAACTGAGACATTCATGATTTACCTTGGTCGCCTGAAAATGTTGATTGAGTTTGTCCATTTATGAGCATCCCATCTGGAAATGGAAGAACTCCACCAGAATCCAAACGCTGTTGAAGCGTTTTGTGGTTGGTTTTGAACCAATCACCAACGAGTAAAGTGAAATCTGCGGTTGGGAGAGGGTAAGGGATTGGGATTCCAGGTCTTGCATAGACATTGATGGCTCCGAATCCACCGGCGGCTTTGTGAAAGGCAGTGGAAGGGAAGTAATTGAAAGATCCGATTTGATCTTTGGTTTGGAATTTGTAAGTGAAGTTTGAGTTTGGTTGGATCGGACAGTTTGTTCCCAAAACACCATCTTGCCATGAGTTCTTCCTCTGCTTAATCCCATTCCTAAGCCACACACATTGAAACAGATCAAATACCAATTTCAAGTACTGTGATCGATAAAGTTTTAAGCTTTTTCGAGTTTAAACTCAAATCTTTCAGAGGACTAATCCACAAATGCCTTCAAATAGTGGTCACACAAAACAGAGGACTTATTCTTTTGGAAGCATTTGAAAATGATAAAGTTCAAATCTTTAGGGTTTTTTTGAATCAGAAAAAAATGAATTACCAGGTCAAGAGGAAAGGCTGGTCAAGTTTGTTGATGAGGTTGAGGATGATGTTGTCATTGGTCACAACATCAAGCTTTGGACCAGGAAACTGACCATTGATGAGAATAACCTAAACAGACAAACAAACAAAACATCCATAAAGAGTATAAAAGGTCTGAGTATCAAACAAAAATGGGATTCAGAGTTTCTATAAATGGAAACTACTGTTGTTGTTGTTGTACCTGTTGAGGAACACCAAGAGGAGAGATAATGCCATAAGTCACAGTCCAGGTGTAAAACTTGTAAGGGCTTTCTCCTTTCACTATCACCAAACTGCTCAAAACAGTCAAAGCTCCAAGAAGAAGAAGAAGATTAAGCAAGGATGTTGTTTTTCTTGATGCCATTTTCATGGCTTCCTAAAAGAGATTGAAGACAGCTCAGAACTCTTCTACTAAATGTGTTAGAGAAAAACGTTGGGACTTTGGTCTATAAAAATGCAATTAGATAGCGAAAGTTGTGGGTGACATAAGTAAGTGAGAGAAAAAAAGAAGTCACAAAGGTGGTTCCAATCAATGACAGTGAAGATCTCGAGTGACTTAATTTTATTGCTTTTTGGTTTGGTCAAATAAAATCATATTCAACTCCCTCATAAATCAACTTCAACAATTTCTTACACCCTTTAGATTTTAAACACAGATTATGTTTAAGTCAGAACTTTAGATCTTATACATAGTTGACGGCAGATTTGATCTTATACATTATCCAGTATATATCATTCACATTTGAAAATGCTGGTCTGGTTTGTTGTAAAAGTATAAATTTTGCTGGTTTTGTTGATTAGTGTAAAATGAAATAAAGTTGTTAATGTGAAAAAGGTGGTAGTGGATAATGCGGTGACAACGGAAATATTGAATGGTTTCACGCGTTTTGGTTTATATGATTATTGCTTCCAGCCAAAGCTTACCTTTCATTATTCGGATAACGGATACCATAAAAAGCTAAATGGAAATAATTTAAAACTAGAAAACGAAAAAGGAAAAAGTGGAAAGAAATTGAGTAAAACAGACAAGACTTTTAGTTTTAAGAAAAATGTTTCCTAATTAATCGCCGCTGATTATAATCTCCCTTTTGCAGTTTTCTTCAGTTTTACGGCCAAAGATGAAAGCAAAACAAATCAATTAAGAAAGCTTTTTAATTAACGAAGTTTCTAGTTTTCTACCTTTTTTTTTTTTTTTTGAAGGAAAAACAAATTATTCATGGAGTATTATGCTTTTGGGAAAAGTGCATCTGCTCTGCTGTGATGGGCTCGGCGTTGAGCTATTGAAAGTTGTGCCAATTTTGCTCGATTTATTGCAAATCTGATAATATAAAAAGAAGTTATTTTATTTGGTTTTGGATGAATTCCAAAGTTAAAAACTGTAAGTTGCAAAAGTTGACAAAATTAACTCGCGGTTGGGAAATTAGTCGGTGAAATATGGCCCACCTACTAAATAATTTCAATTTTATTATTAATTACATATCTAATTTAGTATGAACTCACCGATCACCTCGAAGGTCCATGCATGCAGATCACGCAATACATAAGAAACGAGTGAACCAAAAACGACGATAGAAGAAATCGAGAATACATACATGCATACATATATTAAGCAACACAATGATGTATCCGAGAGGATTTTATATATTAGAACAAAAGATGAAGCATGTGAGGAGTTGTTGATTATGCATCATTTTCTTAATTAATTAAAATATATATGAACCACTATTTTGTTTATGTATTCTTCTAGACTCTTTCTTAATGACCACTATTTAGACTAAACGAGTAATATAAAAGAGTCAACATGGGCTTAGACCCAATTCGGGCATGTGGAAGTTCTCACAAATAATGGTCAGTCACATGCTATGTCTCTTGTTTTGATCCTATTTTATTGCTCTTAAACCAAATTACGAGCCATTGAATTGAATTGTAGGGTTTTAAAGTTATGAGCTTTTTTTCAATTCTCTGGGCCCATGTAAATAGTATAAGGTCTATCTAAATGGGCCGATCAAGGAATAATATATATAGATGGGCCTGAAACTTTTGATTGCAATGACGTCAAAAAAATGACGTCAGAAAAAAAAATCCTTCTGATAGCAATTTCGAGGTACTGTGAAGTGAAGTCAACCACGACGACCGAGATTGCTTTGCAAGTAAGCTAAAGCATCTGACTTCGTCTTCCTTGTCTAATCTTGTCGACAAAATCTGTGAGTTATTTTTTCATTCTTTGTTTTCTCTGTTTTGCCAAATTTCCGAGGAAAGGAATCTGAATAGAAAAAACAAGAATGAACGATTGGCTTAGTGTGGTATTAGGAGCTTTGGCCTCCGAAGGTCTGAAAATTTTGATAGCTGAGGCAAAGAAGGTTTTAGCTTTCAAATCTGTGTCTAATGAGCTCGCATCGGATATGGAGTTTTTGCTTCCGGTGATCACACAGATCGAATCGTTGCAAGATGTTATGGAACTACAAGATTTTAAAGACATGATCGTTGACGCTCTTGTAGTGGTTGAGGAGTGTTCACGTGTCAAGAAGTGGAATATAGTCTTCAAATCTAAGTACACGAGAAAAGTTATGGAAATCAATAGGAAGATGTTCAAGTTCTGTCAGATTCAAATACTGCCTCTTCTGTTTAGGAACCAATTGCAGTCTAACATTGATCTCCAAATCATCAATAAGAAGCTCGACCTTTTGAGTGTTTCTCCTCCCTCTCCTGTTTTCTCGAAGCGTTGTTCTGTTCCCAAGCTTAATACGGTTCTTGTTGGATTGGATTGGCCATTGATGGAGCTGAAGAAGAAACTCCTTGGCAATTCAGTGGTTGTTGTGTCTGGTCCTCCTGGTTGCGGGAAGACCACGCTGGTTACTCAGCTTTGTGACGACCCAGAGATCAAAGGTATGAAGTGTCTTAAAGTTTTGATCTTTACACATGTTTCTTGTTTCTCATCTAGTGTAATCCATTGGCAGGAGAATTCAAGAAAATCTTCTTTAGCGTTGTGTCGAATACTCCTAATTTCAGGGCCATAGTACAAAATTTACTTCAGGACAACGGTTACGGAGCAATTACATTTGACGATGATTCTCAAGCAGAAACTGGCTTAAGAGATCTGCTAGAGGAACTCACAAATGACGGTCCTATATTGTTGGTGCTGGATGATGTGTGGCATGGATCAGAGCTATTGCTTCGGAAATTTCAAATTGAATTAGAGGGTTATAAGCTTTTGGTGACTTCTCGGTTTGATTTTTCGAGTTTATGTTCCACTTATCATTTGAAACCTTTGAAAGATAAAGATGCTAGGTCCCTTCTTATTCAGTGGGCATCACCGCCTCTTCACACATCTCCAGATGAGTATGAAGATCTTCTCCAAAAGGTATTATCAGTTTCATTTCTATCAACCTTCTAGTTTTAAGCTTCAATAGTCCTGTTAGTGAAAACACTAGATTCATCTTTTTCTTTTTTCACATGGTAGATATTGAAACGTTGCAATGGATTCCCTCTCGTAATTGAAGTAGTTGGCATTTCACTTAAAGGACAAGCTCTGTATTTATGGAAAGGCCAAGTGGAAAGCTGGTCTGAAGGGGAAACAATTCTTGGTAACGTGCTAGAACGTCTGCAACCTACCTTCAATGCCCTGAAACCCCATCTTAAAGAGTGTTTCTTGGACATGGGTTCATTTCTTGAGGACCAAAAGATACGTGCTTCACTTATAATTGACATATGGGTGGAATTATATGGTAGGGGTAGTAGTAGTACTACTACTAACATGTACATGAAATACCTTAATGACCTTGCTTCCCAGAATCTGCTTAAACTTGTTCCTCTCGGGTATGTTGTTTCTTTTTTCAACATTTGTTTCATTTCACTTTTTTGCCATCTACCATTTGATCATGAACTTATTTGTTTACTTACCAGGACAAATGAGCACGAAGACGGATTCTACAATGAGTTGTTAGTCACTCAACATGATATTTTGAGGGAGTTGGCTATTTTTCAAAGAGAACTGGAACCAATCCTTGAAAGAAAAAAACTAAATTTGGAGATACGAGAGGACAACTATCCGGACTGGTGTTTGAATCTAAGGCAACCTATTAATGCTCGACTTTTGTCTATCTCTACAGGTAATTCTTTCAGATCCTCTTTTCTTTTCTGAAAATCGTGCATAAAAATATGACCTTCCTATAAGGCTATAACTATGCTCGGGTCTCTCTTTTTTTTTTTTGTTACAGATGATTTGTTCTCATCAAATTGGCTGGAAATGGATTGCCCCAATGTTGAGGCTTTAGTTCTTAATGTATCTTCATCAGACTATGCATTGCCAAGCTTCATTGCTGGAATGAAGAAGCTGAAGGTTCTAACAATCACAAATCACGGTTTTTATCCAACAAGATTAAGCAATTTCTCGTGTTTGAGCTCATTACCAAATTTGAAACGGATTAGATTGGAGAAAGTTTCAGTCACTTTGCTAGACATTCCCCAATTGCAACTCGTCAGTCTTAAGAAGCTATCTTTGCTCATGTGTAGTTTCGGTGAGGTTTTCTATGAGACAGAAGAAATAGATGTCTCTAAAGCCCTACCGAGTTTACAAGAGATTGACATAGACTATTGCTATGATCTTGAGGAGTTACCTTATTGGGTCTCTGAAGTTGTTTCATTGAAGACCCTTAGCATCACAAACTGTGATAAGCTCTCTACACTTCCAGAAGATATGGGCAACTTGAGTAAACTGGAAATGTTGAGGTTGTGTTCTTGTAATAATCTCTCTGAGCTGCCTGAAGAGATTGGCAAACTACAGAAGCTGAAAAAGATCTGGATGAGGAAGTATACGGGATGCAAGTTACCGGATTCAGTGACGAACCTAGAGAATTTGGAGGTCAAATGCGATGAAGAAACTGGATTCTTGTGGGAAAGGTTGAAGCCTAAAATGATAAATTTGAGAGTTGTCAAGGAGGAAATAGAGCATAACCTGAACTGGCTTCAAACGTTTTAAGTTTTGAGTGAAAAACTTAATTGTGTAATTGTGTAATTGTGTAAAAGACATTAGTCAACATGGGCTTGACCATATTCGGACATGTGGAAGTTCTATTGCTCTGAAATAATGTTTTTTTTTTTCTTCTAAATACGCATGTTGTGTTGGGCCTTAGAAACTTAAAAGGCTTAATCGAATACTGGCCCAATATAAGAAAGACATACTCTCGCACGTATGAAGAGAGCACGATACACGTTCCGTCTATCTTACCACGTGCGGCACGTGTGGTTAACGTCGAAAGGCAAAACGCAAACGCAGTCGCGATATTCAGGTTATTGCGCGGCAATGGGACCGAGTCTGAGAAGTCAAAGCAATTAAGCAATTCGTCTCCTTTGTCTATCTACTACCATCGTTTTCCACATTCATGAAGCATACATCGATAATTCCAGAGATCCCCTTTTTAGCTTGTTTGGTTTTCAGCGATTCTACAGACAAAATCTGAGAGTTTTTTTTTTTTTTCTCTTTTTGGGTTCTGGGTTTTCTCTAAACTTTGAAAGAATGAACGATTGGGCTAGTTTGGGATTAGGTTCTATTGGTGGAGCTGTGTTTTCCGAGCTCTTGAAACTTGTGATTGAAGAAGCCAAAAAGGCCAAAGATTTCAAACCCTTGTCCAAAGATCTCGTATCAACAATGGAGAGATTGTTTCCGTTAACTCAAAAGATTGATTCGATGCAAAAAGAGCTTGACTTTGGTGTAAAGGAACTTAAGGAACTGAGGGATACGATCGAAAGAGCTGGTGTAGCTGTTCAGAAGTTTTCAAGCGTCAAGTGGTACGAGAAATCTAAATATACTAGAAAAATCGAGAGAATCAATGAGGATATGCTTAAGTTCTGTCAGATTGATCTTCAGCTTCTTCAGCATAGGAATCAGTTGTCGTTGTTGGGTTTGACCGGAAATCTTGTGAATTCGGTTGATGGTTTAAGTAAAAGAATGGATCTTTTGAGTGTTCATGCGCCTGTTTTTAGGGATCTTTGTTCGGTTCCCAAGCTTGATAAGGTTATTGTTGGATTGGATTGGCCATTGGGGGAGCTAAAGAAGAGACTCCTTGACGATTCCGTGGTTAGTCTTGTGGTTTCTGCTCCTCCTGGTTGTGGGAAAACAACGCTGGTTAGTCGGCTTTGTGACGATCCAGATATCAAAGGTATGTATATATAAAGTCTCAAAGTTTGGATTTTTACTCTTGAATTGTTGACATTGTTTCTCATGGAGTTTCCATTGGCAGGAAAGTTCAAGCATATCTTCTTTAGTGTTGTATCAAGTACTCCTAACTTTAGGGTCATAGTACAGAATTTACTCCAACACAACGGTTATGAAGCACTTACATTTGAGAATGATTCTCAAGCAGAAGTTGGTTTAAGAAAACTGCTAGAGGAACTTAAAGAAAATGGTCCTATATTGGTTGTCTTGGATGATGTGTGGCGGGGAGCGGAGTCTTTACTTCAGAAATTTCAAATTAAATTACCGGATTATAAGATTTTGGTGACTTCTCGGTTTGACTTTCCGAGTTTTGGTTCCAGTTATCATTTGAAACCTTTGGAAGATGAAGATGCCAGGTCCCTTCTCATTCATTGGGCATCGCGACCTTCTAATGCGTCTCCAGATGAGTACGAAGATCTCCTCAAGAAGGTTGTTGTTTTATTCATCTAGATGAACCTATACATTTGTGATCTAAGAATTCTGATAACTATATCAATAGATCCATCTTTTACTTTTTTCATATGGTGAGCTAATGCAGATATTGAAACGTTGCAATGGATTCCCAATCGTAATTGAAGTAGTCGGCGTTTCACTCAAAGGACGATCTCTAAATACATGGAAAGGTCAGGTGGAAAGCTGGTCTGAAGGGGAAAGAATTCTAGGTAATCCTCATCCAACTGTGCTAGAATGTTTGCAGCCTAGCTTTGATGCCCTGGAACCCAACCTTAAAGAGTGTTTCTCGGACATGGGCTCATTTCTTGAGGACCAAAAGATACGTGCTTCAGTAATAATTGACATGTGGGTGGAATTATACGGTAAAGGTAGTAGTATCTTGTATATGATGTACCTTGAAGACCTTGCCTCCCAGAATCTGCTTAAACTTGTTCCTCTCGGGTATGTTATTTCTGTTTCAAATCTATATCTTTGCACCTTCTTGCCATCTACCATTAGTGGAACTTATTTATTTCTTTATCAGCAGAAATGAGCACGAAGACGGTTTCTACAATGATTTCTTAGTCACTCAACATGATATCCTTAGGGAGTTGGCTATCCGTCAAAGCGAATTAAAGGAAAACATAGAAAGAAAAAGACTAAATTTGGAGATAAGAGAGAATACATTTCCAGACTGGTGTTTGAATCCAAGACACCCTACTATTAGTGCCTCTTTATTGTCTATCTCTACGGGTAATTTTTTGAACTTAGTGATTATACAAAACTCTGCTGTTTCTGGAAATATGACTTCCCTATAACTATGATTGGTCTTTCTTTTTGTTACAGATGATTTGTTCTCATCGAATTGGTTGGAAATGGATTTCCCCAATGTTGAGGCTTTAGTTCTTAATCTCTCTTCACCAGACTATGCATTGCCAAGCTTCATTGCTGGAATGAAGAAGCTAAAGGTTCTGACAATCACAAATCACGGTTTTTATCCAGCAAGATTGAGCAATTTCTCGTGTCTCAGCTCATTACCAAACCTGAAACGGATTAGATTGGAAAAAGTTTCAATCACTTTGCTGGACATTCCCGGATTGCAACTCGGCAGTCTTAAGAAGCTATCTTTGGTCATGTGTAGTTTCGGTGAGGTTTTCTATGAGACAGAAGAAATAGATGTGTCTAAAGCCCTATCGAGTTTACAAGAGATTGACATAGACTATTGCTATGATCTTGATGAGTTACCTTATTGGGTCTCTGAAGTTGTTTCATTGAAGACCCTTAGTATCACAAACTGTGATAAGCTCTCTACACTTCCAGAAGCTTTGGGCAACTTGAGTAAACTGGAAATGTTGAGGTTGTGTTCTTGTAATAATCTCTCTGAGCTGCCTGAAGCAACTGAGAGACTCAGCAACTTGCGGTTTCTGGATATTTCTCATTGCTCAAGATTGAGTAAGTTGCCTCAAGAGATTGGCAAACTAGAGAAGCTGAAAAAGATCTGGATGAGGAAGTATTCGGGATGCAAATTGCCGGATTCAGTGACGAATCTAGAGAATTTGGAGGTCAAATGCGATGAAGAAACTGGATCCTTGTGGGAAAGGTTGAAGCCAAAAATGATAAATTTGAGAGTTCACAAGGAGGAAACAGAGCATAACCTGAACTGGCTTCAAACGTTTTAAGTTTTGAGTGAGAAAAACATTTTCGTAGCTTGTGTGGGTCTTGTAATGTTATTCTCATGTAATCCAATGTAAATGGAATGGTTCTTTAAAATAGTTGTTAATAAAACTATATATGTGCATATGTGCCAGCGAGAGAGTATTTTACAAGTTGATTAATGCTTTTTTTTGGTTAATATTGGATTATTGGTTGTTATCTAACATATAATGGCGATAATTATTTCCAAGTAGATTGAGATTGAATTAAAAATTTGGATGATAGTTTTGTATGATAGTTATGAGAAAATGTCATGCCAAACATTTTTGTGTACGCCAATCTTTTTAAACCATTTAATACTACTAAATACTTGGTCCTTATCTAAATTGAATAAATTTGAACAGAGTTATTCACCAACATTTTTGACAAACTATAATAGTAATATTCAACATTCTTCATTTTAATTTAAAATATAGTCTTGGTAAATTCATTGAAAATCCTAAAATGTGAAGTCTATCTCATCAGTCATCATATAGATCCTTAGAAGAAAAAGTCAAAAACAGTAGTTAGATACAAGAAATTCTTTCTTATTAATTACAAAGGGATCATACTGGATTTTTATCTTCAAAAAAATTGTTTTTCCCTGGAAAAATCACCACTTATGTAGTAAAATAAAACCTTTTAAAGAGATTTTTTAATTTTATTTTTATCACATATTAATTTAATCAATAAGCATATTTCTTTTACCAAGCACGTTTATGGGTTTTCGTGTTGGTCAAGTCACCTTTTTCCTTTTGCTAGTTAAACTTCTCTTTTGGGATTGATATAAGTTTCTCCATTCAAACTCTGTGTTTTATTCAAAGTACCGCCTGACTTTTCCGTTATAAATTGATCTAATGGGTTTTGTGAAAAGTCACGTTTTTAATAATAAAAGAAAGAGTCAGTCAATAGAGTAAATTTCTCTTATATTTCTTTGTTTTCAACATTCGATCTTATTTCATAGAATTCCTCTCCATTCATAGGAGCCATTATGGATTCGATTTCGATTCAAAGTTTTGATGCCTTGCCCCATAATCTTCGAGAGTGTTTCTTGGACATGGCCTTATTTCTTGAAGACCAAAAGATAATTGCTTCCTCTATAATTGACTTATGGTCTGCATTATACGGTAAAGAGAGCTTCATTTGTATGAATTACCTCCAAGATCTTGCCTCCCACAATCTCCTTAAACTTCTTCCTCTTGGGTATGTTACTTTCACATTCATCTACCAATTCTTGACCCTAAAGCCTATGGAAAATGGTTTCACCCTATTTTTCATTTTTTTAATAGATTTTTTCCCAACTTTCCTTTATTTATTTGCTTTAAATATAGGAGAAATGAGTATGAAGATGGTTTCTACAGTGAGTTATTGGTTAAACAAGAAAACATCCTTAGAGAATTTGCTATAAATCAATGCGAAAAAGAGTCGCCTTCGATTTTCGAAAGGAAAAGATTAAACTTGGAGATACAAGAAAACAAATTCCCAAACTGGTGTATAAATCCAAAACAACCTATTGTTATTAATGCATCTCTAATTTCTATCTCTACCGGTAATATAATTATTTCTTCACTCTGTTTCACACACCCTTTAAGCATATTTACTTCATATGATTGATCTTCTTCTTTTTGTTTTGTTTTTTTCTTAGATGATTCATTTTCATCATCAAGTTGGTTTGAAATGGATTGTCCAAATGTTGAAGCTTTAGTTCTTAATCTCTCTTCATCAAACTATGCATTACCAAACTTCATTGCTACAATGAAGGAATTGAAGGTTGTGATAATCATAAATCATGGTCTTGATCCTGCAAAGTTAACCAACTTGTCTTGTCTCAGCTCTTTACCAAACCTGAAACGGATCAGATTCGAGAAAGTATCAATCATTTTGCTTGACATTCCCAAACTTGGTCTCAAGAGTCTTGAGAAGTTGTCTTTATGGTTGTGTCACGTTGTTGATGTTCTCAACGAACTAGAAGAAGTTGATGATGTTTCTGAATCTTTACAAAGTCTACAGGAAATCGAAATTGATTATTGCTACAATCTTGTTGAATTACCATATTGGATCTCTCAAGTTGTTTCATTGAAGAAGCTTAGCGTTACAAACTGTAACAAGCTTTGCAGACTCATAGAAGCTATAGGTGACTTGAGGAACCTTGAAATGCTGAGACTGAATTCTTGTACTAGTCTTTTAGAACTGCCTGAAACGATTGATAGACTCAACAATTTGCGGTTTCTTGATGTTTCTGGTGGCTTCCAATTGAAGAAACTACCTCTAGATATTGGAAAGCTCGACAAGCTTGAGAAGATTTCGATGAAAGATTGTTATCGATGTGAGTTACCGGATTCGGTGAAGAACCTAGAGAATCTGGAGGTGAAATGCGACGAAGAGACTGCGTTCTTGTGGAAAAGATTGAAACCAAAAATGAAGAATCTAACGATCACAGAGGAAGAGACAGAACATAACCTCAACTTCCTTCAACTGTTTTAAGTCAATTTGCTTTTGTGTGTGAGGTTTTTTGTAACATTGAAATATATTATATATACACAGATATGATATTTTACATTACATATATAGGTATGCAAGAAACAAACAGAGACAATACAAAAATGGTAGAAATTGAAACCAGAGGATCAGGACACTGGTCTTAGAACAGATAAGAGAAGTGTTTTGGTCATTAAAAAAGCTTTTTTATTAGAGAGCGTAAACTATCTCTCCGCTACTGTCAATGTCGATTTCAGATTCAGAATCAAAGTCATCCATGTCATCGTCAAGATCAAGATTGTCTGTCATGAAATCGTCTAGGCAACGGTTTCGAACAGCGGGAATTGTGGCTTCAGAGATGATTTGCATGATTGTGTCAAGGCTTTGCATTGGTTGTTCAGGCTCCTGAAACTGGCTTCCTGTGTTGCTCTCGCTCAGTAGATCAGCTGGGAGATTCTTCAAGAACCAATTGTGGGTTTTGATCTCTGGAATGCTAATTCTCTGTAACAACATCAAACATCAGAAATGCCATCTCGCCGATGGTTAAAGATTAAGAGATGAGGAAGGTAATGACTTACGGTAGCGGGATCAGCCACGAAGATTCTTGAAATTAGATGACAGCATTCAGGTGATATCCGTATGTCGTCAGGGATTGAGTATTTAACGCTAAGGATTCTCTGTTTTAGGATCATAAAGACAGTAAGAGGATAATCAACAGATGAGTAAATAAACAGTATTTTAAACAGTTACCTGTATTGTTTTCCGATAGTCTCTTGGCTCATCGGGATCTTCAAACGGATAAGCTCCAACCAACATGACGTATAAGGTCACACCACATGACCATACATCTGCAATCTGATATTTGTAGCACTCAATAATTGGTTATTCATCCATGGAAAAACGCAGATTACTGAGCAATTTTTTTTAAAAGACTTCTTTATTACCTTGCCATCATATTCCTGACGAAGCAGAACCTCTGGAGCAATGTATGCAGGAGTACCGACAGTTGACTTTGGTTGTGAATGAAGAACAGAAGACTGTCAAAAAGAAATGCATAAGCAAACACTTCAAAAACACATTTGAACAAGTATATAGGGCTAAGAAGAGACAGGGGAAATCAGCAAGAGAATAGAGGAACCACAAGTGTACAGTTTCTGATACCAAAAGGACAAAATATTGTGTGATAAGTATTACCTTTGAATATCCAAAATCACAAATTTTTAATCGAGGAGCAGGACTCCCATCCAACAATGTATTCTCGAGCTTTAGGTCGCGATGGCAAATTTGCTTCACAAGAAATGAAAAAAGCAGAGTATTGTTAACAACAAGTTCGGAAAAAAAAACGAGAATACAATTCCATAGGCTCCATGAAACAATTTCTCTACATACCATTGCATGACAATAACTGACTCCAGATATAAGCTGCTGAAAGAAGAACCGAGCCTTTACAAGAAGAAATCAAAAGATCAAAAAACAAGGAAACCGAAAACCCGAAATTGCGATAAGAGAATCAAATACAAACCTCATCTTCACTAAACCGTCCTGCATTGCAAATCCGCTCGTAAAGTTCACCGCCAGAAGCATATTCCATTATGATAGCCAGATGAGTCGGTGTCAAAATGACCTATCCTCAAGTACAAGAAACAGAGTTTAAAGAATCACTCTGGCTCAACAAAATGCAAAGAAAATAACTGAAGAAAAGTGTTTAACTTTTACCTCTTTAAATCTGACAATATTAGGATGCCTTAATGACCTGTGATTAATGATTTCCCTTTGAACATTCTCATCAATCTGCAACTCCCATAGTTAGAAGTACTCAGCCACAAGTCATTCACAACTGTCCTAATCTACAAAAGCACAACACTCAAAACCAACTAAAAATCCTATTAATATTCACCTAAAGCTCACATCTTTAAATCACAACCTTAACACACATTAAAAGCACTCAAAACCATAATCATCATCAAACAAAATAACGCTAAATTTAAGTACTAAACCATTAAACCAAATACTAAAATAAACGATCACTGAACTAAATAAATATAATCAACTACCAAAAATAGAAAAATTAAAATATAAAAAATGAGATTTTTTAAAATTTGAAACCTTGTCTCCTCTCTCGATGTACTTGACAGCAACAAGCTCTTTAGTGAGTTTATCTCTCATAAGACGAGCAACACCGAAATTACCAGAACCAATATCCTTAACGAAGTCATATCGATCACTGTCGTGCATAATCGGCATATCCATAGGTCCTGTGGTCACCGGAGCCCGATCCATCTCTGATCACACAAAAAGAAATTCGAATCTTATCTACCCAGAAGAGAATATGTTGTTGTTGTTTTTATTAAGTCGCTGGAATCTAGGAAGAAGAAGATTCGAGAAAATGGAAAAATATCTTCAAGAAGAGAACGAATGAGGAAAGAGTGAAGAAGATGAAGAAAGAAAAAAAAAATCAATAAAGGCAATAATTGGTTGCCCCAAGAGATAAGGATTATCCCAAAACGACAACGTTCTGTTGCTTTGATACGACAAGAGCCGCCGCGTTTTGATGATTGATGTTGCTTCATGAGAAACTATAAAAAAATTAAAAATTAATTAAAAATTAAAATGAAAAAAAGGAAAAAGAAAAAGCGCGACTTCACTCGTCCTTGTCTCCTAAAAAACAAACTTTTTTTTTTCTTTAAATTCTCTGTACTTATCCGTTTCGATTTCTTTCTACTTTTCTTCTTTTTTTCCATTTTGAGAATTTGTATCAAACAAATATATAGTTGTGACAAAAATAAGAAAAAAGAAGAAGATATTTTGGTTTTGAATAACAAGATATTAAAAAAAAAAAAATAGTTTCGAGGAAAAAGAAAAACTTAGTTCATAAGGAAAACAGAAGCTTGAAAGTCACGTGCTGCAGAAGCGGCCATGTGATGAAAGAATATTCGATAACATTATGCCGTTATTTGACGGCGTTAAACGTTATCACTCACTGCAAAAACGGAACGGAGCTATGAAAACGGTGTTGATGACACTGACAGTGACGTGGCAACTTCTAAGCATTTTTTTAATATAATTGATGGGCCTGCCTCTAATTTTGCTAAATAAAAGGCCTTAAATATATAACCAAAAGGCCAGCCCAATTACAACATAGAGCATTTTATCATATTGGCATGACATATACAGCAAATCTTAGGTCATTGATTTTGTCGGTCCATATATATAAAGAGACGCTTAAATTAGAATCTACTAAGGACTGTTGTATTAAATTGGATGTTGGATTGACCTAGTTAGAAATCTTTATATGGATTTATTGCGACACGAGACATTGATAAGAGTACCAAGAAGGGTACACTAGTGACTAGTGTTAGAGACAGAGAGATGTATGTATGTATAATTTTATTCTTAAGTTAATAAAAAAGAGTGAATGGGGTTTATGGGTAAGTGCGCAATTAATGGGTCAGTGCTTAATTTAATGACCGATGCTCATCAATTTCACCACCTTCTCTTTATTGCTATGCTAAGCATCCTACTGGTGAGATTAATATACTATTATATGCACATGCACATGACCATTAAGTATCCAAGTTTCTCATGAATCATTCAGCTAAAATATCTAAACCATACTCACATTGATTTAGCTACTGATTGATATATGATCATGGTATGGGCAATTGTAAAAGTGAGTGAAAGTTTAATACTTTAGATTGATGTGATTATGTTAAATTAAATGTTACATCTGTTTTTCAGCCGGTTTTGATTAAGTGAATTCGTGAGGATTAAAAGCATCATGTTATGTTGGGAGAGTCTTAAGGGATGATTTATAAAAGATAAAACGGTGAGGATTTGGAAGAGAGAGCCAAAAATAAATTAGTGAGTGGTCAAAGATTGTTAATAAATGAAAACCAACACAATCTTAATTGCCAAGCATTCACACTTAACTACTTCTTTAGCTTTAATTTATTTAGCTACTTGATGATTATTCTATGCGTTTGTTTTCAAGTATAGGCACACTCTCTTTAATCTTTATAAAGTGTTGTAGCCTTTTTGTAAAAAAAATGGTTCCTTAGCCTTTTTGTTTTTACTATTTTAGAATTTTTATAAACTGTACTCTTTTTTTTGTCTTTTTTTTTTCTCAATGTTAGGTATATATAAACATGATCGATACATCAATTTACTAAAGTCGGTTATCCTCGACAAAAAAAAAAAAGTAGGTAGAGGTTTCTTACAACATAGTGTATTTTTTGAATAAGCATGTAAAACTTAACAACAATATTAAGCCATCTAACTAAACTAAAACGATATTGCTTACCAGAAACAACAAATATAAACAAAGATGGAGTCTTATTCATATTTTTTTATTTAATATTTCGGATTGACATCGGATATGTGATAAACCACTAGGGCAAGTAACCCTTCTCTTGATGACATCTAATTTACAAATGTAAAATGGCAACCAAAAACACTAATTTCTCCTTTTTTACTTAAACCAAAAGAAATGTCAAAAATAAAAAAGCAAATTAATATTTGTCTGGGGGATCTTTTGTTCAATTTGATACGAGGCCTTTGGTTTATACTTTTGAATACTCTTCACCAAAACTGTCTGCGGGACTCAATATCAACCAAATACGCTGACTTCTTTGTAAGTCGTTTCACATTTACGTGGTGAGTGTCTTTTCGCTTTTGGAAGTGCCGACAAAATTAGGAAGAAAGAAAAACTCGATTGCGTCCATAATGCCTTGAGCAAAGTCAGAGTTTCCAACTGCAAGAAAAGTTGAGCAAATATAAGTAAAACCAAAAACAATGGATCCAAGAGAGACTTAAGAAACAATATTATTATCATAAAGAACTTGATCGACGTGGTTGATGCTTAATACATGCACGAATAAAGTGCATCTTATGGGACAACACTTAAAAGATTTCCAGACAGAAAGGTGTAAGCAAATCTTAGACTCTTAAAGATACACAAATTTTCTCTTTTTCATCTCTAGTAGGTAGAACAAAGCCAACATATATCAAATAATTACCATATCACACAAGTCTAAATCAAGAATTGGTGAACTGATGTGACCCCACCATGATTTATTTTCTTTTAAACCCTACTTCTAAAAATAACTACTAGGTTAGTTAATGCATTATTGTTCAGAGAATCCAACAAAAGGAAGTTGTTTAAAAATATGGGCTATGGCTATAAGAGTAGGAGAGTTATTGAAGAAATGACAAGGCTTTTTCATTAAATGTTATATATAAAAAGCAAAACCTCCTCTGTACCACTGTAACTGTACTATACCATCAATATAGAACATTCAAAATGCAGAGAAAAAAAAAACTGTATGAAACAAATAATGAAACCCTAATTATTACCTTAGGAATTTTTTGAGAGTTTATCGAGCAAGCGAGAAGGTCAAAGGCCGTATATTTTTTAATATCCCTCTTTTTTATTATTCCTCAATTAGCGAGATTAACCAATGACACTCCTTCTACCCTCCTCGCTCTCTGAATTAGGCTGCGTCTGCGTTTGCGTGTCCTGCGTTTGAAGCGGTAGCGGCTGAGAAGATTGTGTAGGTATGAACAGTTGAGCCTCATGATGTTGTTGCTGTTGATGATGATGGTGTAACTGCTGATCCGTATGGTAATTATTATTCGTCGAAGGACTATCAACAAAGTTACCTCCAAGAGACATTCCGGTTACCGCTGTACCACCGGAGCTTAACTGATTAAACCCAGTAACCGTAACTGAACCGGCCGGTACAGAGTCAAACCCATTGTTAAACCTCAAAATCTCAGCTTGAGCTTGGTTTTGATGGTGTGGACTACTACTTCCTCCTCCTCCTCCATAAGCTCTAAACATCTCATTTTGTTGCTCTCTCGCAACCGCTGCTAACTGCTGAGACTCAAAGATCTGTTGTTGCTGTTGATGGTACAATTGTCCAGTTGGAATACCCATCATTGGCAACAAGTTATGTTGATGCTGAGTCAACACAGACGCTGAAGAAGAAGATGGTCGTTGCGGTTGCGGCGGTGGAGACATGAAATGCGGTTGAGGCGGTTGGAGAATAGGAAGCATAGCTTGAGGACCAACGTACGTAGCAAGCTCTTTCTTGGCGTTTTCAAGATCTTGTTGAAGCTGTTTAAGACGGTGTTGAAGGATTGAGATTAAACCGACGCAACCGTAAACCGGATCACGTAGTCGAGCTTCTGCTTCGTAGAATAGAGAGTTTACTGCGTCTTCTCTGTGGTTAGAGGCAAGCTCGTTGAGAAGCTTAGCGACGTTACTTGCTCCAAAGACTTTGTGAACGTATTGGAATTTTTGAGGTTGGTCTGGTGGGAAATATGGAGCGAATACACATTCTTGTGTGCATTTTCTTCTCAAGAATTTACAAGCTGCGCAAGGAGAGCTTGAAGACGCCATTTTTGTCTCTCTTGAGAGACTTGAGAGCCTGAGAAGATATAAAAGAAAGAAAAATATTCAGTTTCTTTAAATTAAATAGAAAACTTCTTGAAAATAATGAAATAGGGATCGTGAAAATAAATGCATCGAGGAAGCTTCGTGTAAGTCATTAGATGAAGTTGAGAGATTGTATATAAATGTTATCGTGATTCGTGCAACAAAAAATTTCCGTACAAGTAATAGAATAGTGAAATGGAAGGAAAAAAAAATCAATTTTCTGATTATAAACATTACAAACCAAGATCAAGATGACCAAGAAAAGTTTTCAGATCTGTTTACAAGGCAAGAAATTTTTATTTTTTGAAAGGAAATAAATTAGGTTTATGTGTAGTATAACAAGAAGACGAAGAAGATCAACAGATTCCAGAAGATACTATAAATATCATAAATGATCAAAGTAAAATCTATCAATATCAATCTCTATCAATCAAACTTTTAACTAAATCAAATCATCGATCAAAAAAAGGAAAAATCAAACTTACCTCAATTAAACTACGAATCTTTCTCCTTTCCAAAAACCTCTCTATGATCTTTGTTTTGCTAGCTTCGTATCTCACTCTCTTCATCGTTTGATTTCATGATCGGTAGCGAGATAGGTTGAGTGAGTAGGAAGTTACTATCTGGCTCTAGGGTTTCTGAGAAAACTCAGAGAAACCCTATTATTTGATCTGATCTACAATTTCTTCTGCCCTAAGACTATAGATTTTATAAAACCAAGAGAAAATCAATAAAAGATCATGAAGAAGAAGAAAATGAGAAAAAAAAAGGAAGGCTTTTCTAATGACGGGGACGATCTTTTATATCAGTGAATACGCCACAAACCATAGCCGTTGAGATTACAAGAGAGGATGATTTGCCGCCGTTGGATCTCATAATTATTAATTTGGGTTTTAAGTTTTAAGCAACCGTACATGTAATTACAGATTTATCCCTGAATTATTTCATTTTTAATTTTGACTTAATTACCTCTCTAACTGCTGTCTTCGTCTCGAGATAAGTCATTTTCACTCAAAAATCTTAAATTGATACGAAATCGTTACACAGTTGCTTGAAAAAGTCAGCCCCACGAATACACCAATTTTGTTTTTATTTCCTTTTATTAACTAAATCTTTATTACAATTCCAGTCCAACGTCGGTCCAATTATTGAATCAAATACTATATTTTTGGCTTAGATTTGTATTTAACTTGCGTACCTTTTAGTAAGATGATTAAGGTCACATGCCAACTGGAGATAGAATTAAAGTGCTTCGTTATGAACAACACAAGTCTAATGTTGCACATGGTTATGTTTTCATCACTGATATATATATTTTTTTTTTGCTTTTGTTAATCTGTATCGAGTAACTTATATCATTGAATGCAATATCACAGTCAAATTTTTAAGAAAAATTCGTTAACTAAATGTAGGTAAGCATTCATTGCTGAGAAATTTGAACAGTTTCGGAGTACTATTTTTTATTGACAACAAAATTTACACTGGACCTAATAAAATAATAAATAGAAAAGGAATATTTTTAATAAAAAAATCAATTTAAAGTAGAACAAATTTATGTTCTCGTTCCTCCTAAAACTAAAAGTAGTAAATTTCTACCAAAATTATAATACTAACAAATTTTGACCATTTGTAGGGGTATTATTGTAGTTACATACCCAGCCCACTATGAGTTGCCGCACGTGCGCCAGAACCAAAATAATCAACGCAGTTATGTAAAGTTCGGTCAAAACTTCGCCACATGGACTTACATAATTTCTTCTTTTTGTCTCATCATTCATTTATTAAAAGTTTACTACAAGATTAAAAGATTAAAAGGAGAAAAGGATTTAGATATAGATATTCTGACTTATATGATAAGGGCACTTTCAAACGAAAACGCGTAGGCAGTTTTAACTTGCAAACAAACATATAATTTTCACGATAATATTTCCATGAAAACAATCAAGATTTTTTTTCAAAAATTAGCTTTGGTGATAATATGTTAAAAATAAACTCAACTATTAATGTTTTTGAACAAACAATCGATTATTATTTCTTATATCAGAATTACAGACAATTTTCTACACTTTAATTAAAAAATAATGAAAAATTCAGAATTAAAAAGTCATCTATAGTTATATAACGCTTAGGTCAGAAAATCATTTAAAAAACCAAAGTTTCAAGGCTGCACAAACACCCATATAGATAGAATAATGAAAGTGTATTTTCACTTTTTCTCCCATTTGAATCGCTGAGTTTTATGAAACCTAGGCAAAAAAATTAACGTAGAACGGTAGAAACGTAGAAAAGTAGCATACGGAAAAAATATACTAAGGGATTGGCGTCAAAAGTTGGTATACAATGGCACTTTTCATACGTACTCGTACGCATTATACATTTAAATTAGTTATTTTTGATAATATATCATAAACCAGCTGTTTTAGAAAACCTTCACTACATAAAACATTCTTACTATTAAAAAAAATCTAACAATACATAGAAAACTCTTGAAAAGAAAACAAAAAAAAAATCTAGGAGTTGAGATCCGATCTTTAAGACGTCGACCTCTAAAGACTATATACTATACATACAAACTTGTTTCATTCGTGCAAATCCGATGGCATTCCTGTAATAAACTATTAGAGTAGAAGTAGAACGACGAAAATAGAGGACCAATTGGCTGACGTCGTCCATAGCCAATAGAATAGGACGGAAGTTTAAAGGTGGGACCAAGTTTAAGAAGAGACAAAAAGAAGATAAATAAATACATCATATCATCCCTCTATGAATAAATCAAATTTTATAACGATAAGAATTATAAAAGTTTAATGATGCAAAAATACATTGAATTTTTTTTATGTTTTTGGTTTCGGTGGGTTTAAAACGTACTAAAGTTATGCTTCTCGCCTAATCTTCAGTTCTACTGTTCTAGTAACGTATATTTTTGTTTATGAAAATGCTGTAAATATGAATATTTGTTTATTTGTCTTTTAATTCGTTATTCTTTCTTGTGGCGTGAGACTTGTGAGGTTGATAATTTGGAGAAAGAATTTGAGATATAAGGTAAACACTATTTGTTTGTCTCATTCTAATATATATTCTAAGCTAAAAGTAAAAAAATTCGTTGGGTTTGTTATATATTATTGTCAAATGTTGACTTTGTTATTTGCTATGATCTAGCTAAGGCTATGATAGACACTGTCACGTGCAATGGACCGTCTCTCATTTGCATGATATTATTGTTTTTGTGAGTCTCATTGTAATATTCTGATTGTCTCCCCTCTAGTTACAGTCTTACAAAAACAACTAATTTTTGAAGTGTGAATAGTGATATAATAGATTAGACGGTGGAAACAATTTAATCATATGAAATAAGCATAACAAATATAGCTATTGTCGACAAACCATCAATAGTACCTGCAACCATAGAAATGTTGTATATATAAAAAAGGATATGAAACACAATTACCATGAGCAAAACGAGAAGAATATAGAGGGTTGAAGTCACGTAAAGAAACGTATAAAAATAAAGTATTATTGGTTGGTAAGAAAATAAGTCAAAATTAAATAATCGTAGGAGGTATATAGAGTATATGGACATTTGCATCTTTGGCCTATGGACGTATATACTATAAGCTTAGCGTGTGAGCAACTGCCAAATCATAACCAAGACAATGAAAGAATGTTGTTATTACGAAAAAGACAAAAAGCACGACCAAACTTTTCGTGATCATATCTTAATCGACGTATCATTTTTTATAGTTATGTATATTACTGGATAACAAGCAAATTTCGATTAAGATAAATCAAAAACGATCTCTTGTATTTTACTAATAAACAAAAAAAAAAAAAACGAAACAAGGATAAAATAACACTATGGGCCAATAAAGCCCAATTATAAATTTGTTTATAGTCCATAGAAAGCCCACAGAGCTTAAACCCTTCCAACGTCTGAGTTTTGAAGGAAACAAACCCTAACGTCCACATCGAACTCTAAACCACACTGAGATGGCGAAATGGTGGCGTGGCCTGAGATCCGTGGCTGATCTGCCGGCGTCTTCATTCGGTCGATCGATTCGGTGTATTCATCAGTATCAGACGATCCAGGCGATTCCACGGGAAGCTACGGGTCGAGGAGTATCGGCTCGGGATCGGACGATTGGCCGGATTCCCGCCGTGGTTTTCCCGCAATCGCTTCTTGATACTGATGCTTCGAAGCGAGGCGTTTCGAGGAAGCAGCTATTGACGGCGGATAAGAAGCAGATTAAGTCTATTATTGACTCTGTTGGTCTCCCATTCTTCTGTTCGACCACTTTCCAGCTTCAGATCCGAGCTGGTCAGGGTTCGTCGACGCTTGTTGAATCGGGTCGAGTACTTCCTCTTAAGGTATTGCTAGTTTCACTCATTTCGATTTCAATCGCGATCGTAGCATGAATTTAGTAAAATGCAGATGTTGTGAGTGGATTTGGTGATGGGATTAGTATGGTTTGGTGTTTCTTTTAGATTCATAGAGACGAAGAAACTGGAAAGATACTTAATTTAGTATTCGTATGGGCTGATGATGGAGAGAAGTTGAAGGTTGATGTTCCTGTTGTTTTCAAAGGATTGGATAATTGTCCTGGTCTCAAGAAAGGTACGAGTTTCTTCTTTGTTCGTATTACTTGCCTTTTTCAGCTAGTTTCTTATGTTGTTCTTGCTGAGAAATCATGTGAGAACTGATAGGAGTATTCTGATACGATCCCGCCGGTTCTATCATATTCTGTGTATTGGTCTTGATGCTGGTGTGAGGATTGCCTTGAACTGTAATTGGGCTTCTCTTTTTTCGACTGATGAGAACTTTGCATATCGGTTTTGTTTTTGTTTTTGCTTGCTAGTGCTCATGTCCTTCTGTTTTACTGCTATCCACCCGTTATTATGATCGAGCTAAGCTTTGTAAAGAGAAATCTATCACTTCTATCTGATAGTTAAGTTTGCATTTCAACGGTAAAGGAATGAAGAAACCAGATATTTGATAAGTTTGTAGTTTTTCTCATCGGTGTAAAGCAAAATTTTCACTTTTTTCCGCATTTGGGAATAGACTAGTTTCATGAATGTTCTTGATTTAAATCATTTTAGTGACGAAAATTCAAATAATTACCATTTCCTGATATCTATAAGCTCATTGTTTTGACAAAAACTGTTGGTCTTCTGTTTTTCTATCTCGTTCTTTTAATCTGATTCTCTGTTACTCTGACCAGGGGGAAACCTACGGTCAATCCGAAGCACTCTGAAACTACTAGGGCCAGCGGAACACATTCCATCTAAAATCGAAGTAGATGTGAGCGAACTCGACATTGAAGACAAAGTGTTATTGCAAGACGTTGTATTTCATCCATCACTAAAGCTACTGAGCAAGAATGAAACCATGCCTGTGTGTAAGATTGTCGCCACTAGCCCGGTGAAAGAACCAGAAGCTGTTCAAGCATAAAATAAGTCTTTTAAATGGGTAATGTAATGTCTCTCTGAAGTTTCTGTTCCATAAAAAAAATGTCATTTGTAGACGCAGATTTTTAGAATAACCCTTGTTGTACAAACCCTTTAAGTGGTAGAACAATAAACCCTCTGGTTGCTTTTGGGTTTTTGATCCGACTCCAATTGCTGATCAAATATTTGTTGTTACTTCACTAATATCCAATTAAATGGGTTTAGATTAGCTGATAATACTAGTGAACAAAACTCTTCTCGTATTTGAATGGGTCGTACTTAACACTACAATAAGAGCCAACGACTTGGTCCATACCAGTGGTAACTGGGACTAAGAATGACACGTGCCGTTTGTTGTGACCAGAAAATTTTGCCACGTATACTTTGGTTTAATTTGACCGTTGACTTATTTGTGGAATCTTTCCAAAATGTAGTTGACCCAGATTAGTTCGGAATCTTCCCTCGCTTGAACTCGAAATTTCCAATTTTTTATATTTTTTTCCTCCTTTTTCTTTATTAGTTTCTGTTTTCTTTTTTTTTTCTTTTTTGTGTGGGAAATTCGTAAATAGTCTTCGTTACAAATTCATGACCGAATATTTTTCATTTAGATTGTTTATCTATTTCTTTTCATTCGTATGATTGTTTTACATACAGTATGTGAAACCGAATTCATATGGAATTTTTCAAATTCACGGTTGTATCCAAAAAACATTTTACATACGAATTTATTATATTCGGATAGATCTCCTTTTAGGAAAATCTTCCAGCTAATTTTTCTAGCTTTGACTGATCTATACGTGACTTTTACTTATTTAGAAATTTGCCCTTTCCATCTAGTATTAAAAATTGTAATTCTGTTGCATTGAATGGAGTTTGTCTTTGAACTCTAGACCAAAAATTGGAAAATATCTTTGAACGGAAGCATCCTGCGACTTGCGTTTTACCGGATCAGAATAGAAAACGTAAAAGTAAAGTGACAATTATCAGAAATAGTATACTATAAAGTGAAATAAATAAAAAGGTTGTTGCCGAAAAACAATACTCCCTCTGTCCCAAATTATAAGAGGTTTTGGCTAAAAGCACAAGGATTAAGAAACAATAAATGTTTTCTCATTTATAAAAATTCAACCAATTAAAAAAAAGACTGCATAATTTAAACACTCAAAAATTATTAAATAAATATAAATAGTGCATTGAAACTTGAAAAAATCTATTAAAATGGAACAAAGAAAAAACCCTTAAAGCTCTTATAATTTGGGACAGAGGGAGTATAGAAAAGTGACTTAACTAAACTAATGACTAGGGTTAAGTTGGTCTAAACCAGGTTTAAGTTTTAGTCAATGCCTCGAGATCCGTACTGTACGGTTTTACATTGGAGTCGGCTTTACGGTTGTCTATTAGAGAGATTGACATTTTCTCGCATCTTTTTCTTAATAATTCCTTTCACATCATAGACTTTAGTATATTTTTGTGGTAAAAGTTTTGCAGACTTAGCTCCATTTGTTGTGTGTAATGTTTTTATGTAAATGAAGAAACAATCTAATGATATAATAATGTGGGTGATGGAGTAGGTTCATGTCAAAAAAGGAACTACAACTTACTACTATTAGCCAATCTAGTAATTGGATATTTTTTGTTTGGTTTAAAATGATGTTTTCATCATGTGGGTGTCGTCTGCTTTAGCTAAAAAAATCTAGAGTCATATTCATGTTTTAACAGAAAATTCATTACATCAATCCGCAGTTATATCATATATTTTTTACTATAAATCGCACATTATAATATCAAATGCAATTCAATCTTAATAACACGTGTCATTAGTCTGAACCAATATCTATCTTATCTTCTAACAATTCAATCTCAATATCCCGTGTGTTATCTGAGCCGATATCTTATCTTCTGAGTATTAAAAAATAACCACACAATTTTTAAAACAAATCAAAATTTAATATAGAGATAAAAACTAAAAAAGTGATTAATGTTTATAGTAGAATACATTTCTACATAAAAGTTTAAAAAATTAGAAATTACCACATCTATTATAGTTTTCATATATACCACTCACAAAATAGTTTAATAAATAATTTTCTAAATAATGTTTTAAAATTAATATGAGAATTTAAGTTCAGACCTACAAATTACTAAGTCAAATGATTTTTTATATAGTTTTACTGTGATGAAAATGAAAAAGACAAGAAAAAGCCGTTGCAAACCGTGTCACGAAAACACAGACTAAACCCGTAAACCGCCTCTCAAGTTTATCATGCTCTTCTAGATTTTATTAATTTGTGCGAAAAGAATAAATTTCCCAAAATAAAAGAAAATATTTGGTCCTAATAATAAGTAAATAATCATTTATTCATCGTTCTCTTCGTTATAATTTATTTTTTTCTGGTGTTTATTTTGTGTGTTTTTGTTATTTCTGTTAAATCCGTTGGGTTCTTTCCATGGATCCTCATCGTCATCGCCACCATCTCCGTCTTTCTTCTTGTGCTCGATTCTAATTCACGTAAGAGAGAAATAAATAAAAAGGATTCATGTTCAGATCTTCTTCTATGAGCATACCATGATTCTCTCGCTATGCGTTGGCTTCCGCAAATCTCGTTCTCGTCTCCTTCTTCTTCTCCATCTTCTTCTCTAAAACCCGTGGCTTCTTACTCTGAATCTGCAGATCCAGATCGTAATCAGGATCGGGATCGATTTCATCGCCGCTTGTTTCGTTTTAACCGCGGTAGGCTCACCCGCCAGAGGAAGCTTCGTCACTTGACGGATGACGATGTTTTGTTGGGAGAACGTCGCGCTTCTACGTCTTCCTCCACCTTCGATTCCGGTTTAACTCGCTCTCCCAGCGCTTTCACCGCCGTTCCTCGCTCTCCTTCTGCCGTTCCCTTACCGTTACCTCTCCCGTTACCGGAGGTCGCCGGGAATCGTAATGCCGGAAACGGTAGAGGATTGGATGAGAGAGATCGAGATCCCGAGAGAGTTATTGCTGACCGCACCTCTTCTGGTCCTCCTCTCACCAGGTAGATTTCAATTCCGTTCTCAATTAGGGTTTGGAGATTTTTTTTTTATCCCAATTCAACTGTGTTTGTTTATGTGATATTCAGCGTCAATGGCGGCTTTGCCCGTGACTCGAGGAAAGCTACAGAGAATTCGTCATATCAAGATTTTAGTCCGAGAAACAGAAATGGTTATTGGGTGAACATTCCAACCATGAGTGCACCAACGAGTCCGTACATGAGTCCTGTGCCTAGTCCACAAAGGAAGAGTACTGGACAAGATTTGCCTTTTTTTTATTTGCCTCCTAAAAGCAATCAAGCTTGGTCAGCTCCAGATATGCCACTTGATACCTCTGGACTTCCTCCTCCTGCATTTTACGACATCACTGCGTTTAGTACCGATAATTCTCCCATCCATAGTCCACAACCTCGGAGTCCACGCAGACAGATCAGAAGCCCACAACCGAGCAGACCATCTTCACCGTTGCATTCCATTCTATCCCCTGATAGCTCAGCTCCACCACGGGATAGTGTTTCCTCACCCTTGCATCCGAGGTTGTCTACTGATGTTACGAATGGGCGACGTGATAGCTGCAATGTTCATCCTTTGCCTCTCCCTCCTGGAGCTGCTTGTCCCTCTTCCTCAGCTGCTTCTGTTCCGTGCCCGCAGGCTCCACTCAAACTGGATTCATTCCCGATGAATTCCCAGTGGAAGAAAGGGAAGCTAATAGGTCGGGGTACTTTTGGAAGTGTTTACGTTGCAAGCAACAGGTAGTTTTTTTTTTTTCTCATGGTACCTTTCCAACAGTTGTTGAGTGCCAATGTGGTTTTTCTTTTTTATTGCATCCTGAGTTGTTTTTCATTTGCAGTGAAACTGGAGCATTGTGTGCGATGAAAGAAGTTGAGCTATTTCCTGATGACCCGAAATCCGCAGAGTGTATAAAGCAATTAGAGCAGGTAACCTCCAAGAGAGACAATGCTCTCAATCACCGCTGTTTTTGGTTGTTCGTTTGTTCTATCTCATACCTTTTTTATTTTATTTCAGGAGATCAAACTTCTAAGTAACCTTCAACATCCAAACATTGTGCAGTATTTTGGTAGTGAGACAGTGAGTATATCCTCTGTTTACATATATATATATAATCTACCTACCCAATGCAGTGTGGCTGAAAATCCATTGAGGAATTCTTTGATTGTGCATGTACAGGTAGAAGATCGTTTCTTTATATACCTGGAGTATGTTCACCCGGGTTCAATAAACAAATATATCCGTGATCATTGCGGTACCATGACAGAATCTGTTGTTCGCAATTTTACTCGTCACATTTTGTCTGGGCTGGCTTATTTGCACAATAAAAAGACAGTCCATAGGTAAAGTCACAATATTACTGTAACCAATCTTGGTGAATATTATTCCAGATGTTGAATCTTAAGCATATTGGTATTCCTATTTTTGTTAATGTTCATCAGGGATATCAAAGGTGCTAATCTCCTTGTTGATGCTTCTGGGGTTGTCAAACTTGCTGACTTCGGCATGGCTAAACACGTGAGTTCGATGTCCTGTCTAGTATTATTGTTGCTTATTGTCTTCTTACGTGATCAGTCGAATGTGAATATCATGGTCTTTGTTTAGTTTCCGTTTTATAATAATAAAGTTGCTATTTATATTCTTCAGCTTACCGGGCAAAGAGCTGATCTCTCGTTAAAGGGAAGCCCGTACTGGATGGCACCAGAGGTGGTCATTGTTCTATGATCTTTGAAATACACTAGACTCTATAAACCCTATATATATACTAATATATTCGTTTACTCACACAGCTCATGCAAGCTGTGATGCAAAAAGATAGCAACCCAGATCTGGCTTTTGCTGTTGATATATGGAGTTTAGGATGTACAATCATTGAGATGTTCACTGGGAAGCCTCCTTGGAGTGAGTTTGAAGGGGTAAGCAACTAAGCATACACATATGTCTTATACTAACGAGATTTTTTTTCTTTTCTCCTGTTATTTAAAAGCTCTTTGAATCAACTTTGCTTTATCACAGGCTGCAGCTATGTTCAAGGTCATGAGAGATAGCCCACCGATACCTGAATCAATGTCACCTGAGGGTAAGGACTTTCTGAGATTATGCTTCCAGAGAAACCCAGCTGAGCGACCAACCGCATCTATGTTGCTAGAACATCGGTTCCTAAAGAACTCTCTGCAACCAACTTCACCAAGCAACAGCGATGTCTCAAATTTCACTCAGTTATTTAACGGGATGAACATAACGGTAAGCAAAACCTCAATACAAGCGTGAATTTCTCTCATGGACCGACCTATGTCATTAATAACAAATTTCTCCCCCCTGGATTGACAGGAACCAAGCGGTAGAAGAGAGAAGCCAAATTTCAAACTAGACCAGGTCCCGCGAGCTAGAAACGTGACATCCTCAGAGAGGTAATCAATCATCCATCACATTTACATTCGCATTGAGTTTTGTTTTTTGAACCTGAAAACATGTTTGTGAAACCTGTGTTCTTGTTTTTGCCTCTGTGTTGTTTGTTTTGTCTGTGCTTGGCTTTCTACAGCTTCTTCACACGTACTTCTTTTTCTCCAGTGAAAGTGGGCAGCAGCAGCAGCAACAACAGTACCGGTCTCCCGATCTAACAGGAACCACCGTGAACCGTCTGTCTCCTCGATCCACTCTCGAGGCAATTCCAAGCCCGTCTCCTTCCCAACGACCTAAACCCAGCAGCACTGACAGGAGAAGAACCGGCGTCTCTTCAGACCACCTTTGATTTGCAGCTTGAGAGGTTAACCACTAGAAGCTACTTGTATACGTATTCTTGTACACGTAAGTGTATGTCAATGTACGTATTTAGAGTTTGGCGTCGTGAATTGGGATGAATGAAAATCATGTGGGTGGTAGAAGAATTGTGTCTGTAAAATTTATAATCCAATGTTGAATCGATAGAAGAAGCTTTTTTCTTTCTTCCTTTTTTTTGCTTGAGAGAGTTGTGTATAAATTATTTTTAACGACGTCTTGTGTACATTTGGTTTCGGGTCTGTATCATTTTTAGATTTAGATCCATTTTTAAAAAAATTAATCCCTGCACTCATTGAGTCATTGTCTCTTGATAGACTTGATTTATTATGATGTAGTTAATATGGAATTACAAATTACAAATTAAAAATTAATCCCTGCACTCCTCCTGGATTTTACTAGTTGGTTGCATATAAAAATTACAAATTACTCTCTTACATTTTAAACTGACGTATAAGAGCAACATTATTGGGAGGTTGTTAACTTTGGTTCTTAGTAAATTTTTAGTATTATTACTAAGAACCAAAGTTAAGATTTACCTCTTTTTGGTTCTTAGGTAAGAAACCTTTCTTACTTTTCTTACCAATAATAACTATTTGCCATTTAATTAAATACTTTTTAATACTTAAGATTTACCTAAGATTCTTCTAAGAACCTATTGATAATCATGGTCTAAAGTACGATTAAATATAATTAAAAAACGTGATTGGAATTGGATTCAAAAACTGGATAAATCTTGTAAATACATAAAACTAGAAAGTGAATTGTGTAAAATATCTAACCTATAAGTCTAAAACACACCCACTATCAAAAGAAAGGAAATCCCGAAACTAATCAGAGAGCCGTTTGATATTTAATTTGAATCGTCGCCATTCCTCTGAACAGATCTCTAATGTCGAAGGAGAAGTTAATCATTGATCTCTGTAGCTCGGACGAGGAAGAAGAAGATGTTTTCGGTGATGAGAATACCTATGACGAAACGGAAGAAGAAGGAGACGAAGATACGAATTCAAGGTCGGTTCCATTGCCTCCTTATAATATAATCTTAATCTTTTGGGTTTATCTAATCTATTTTGAGTTTTATCTGAATCAGTGAGGATGATAGCGATTGGAGCCACGATGATGATGATGCTACAGACTCAGATGTTGAAGCTGACGAGACCGGGGAAAAAGGCGATAACGATGATGGTGGTGATGATGACAAAGTCACACGGCTCCTCACAGGTTTTTTCAATTAGTTTTTTTTTTCCCCCTCTTTTCTCAAAATCATGAATACTAGTTGTGAGATTTGAACACTCTGTTTGTTGTTTGTAGCCGGAAGCGATTTGAAATCTGTAAATGTGAAAGAGTGCAAAGCATATCTGAGAAAGCATGGTCTAAGATTATCTGGCACCAAACCAGTTTGTATTGAGAGAATTCTTGAGCACTGGAGGTATTATTCCTCTATCTCTCAATCTCTCTCTGTCTTCTTATGATTGGGAATTCAAATATATCTTTATTTACAGGATTAAAGATGGAAGCGGAGAAGCAGTGTATCCAAGATCATCCTTTGCTATCAATTGTAAAGGTGATACAAATACTGTTATTGATATGCGCTAAGTTTTGTTTCAGCAGAGTTTGATAGTCTTATAAATTGGTGCAGGTGATGTCTGCAAAGGAGACGTTGTTTTGTTTACACAGAAGGTTCACCACAAGTAATAACTTCTTTATAAAACTCATGCTTGTTGTTACTGCTTTACTTCTTCTATCACTTTTTTGATTCCCTTAATCAATGATCTGGGGGTTGAACAGGTATGAAAAGATGAAAAGGAGTGGAAATATTATGGGGAGAAGAACTGTTGCTGGCCAGGTTGTTAAAGAAAGCTATGGTACTGCTAAACAACAACACACTTTCACTGTAAGCTATCACCTCAAATGTTTGTTCATCATCTGATTTTCTTCATCTTGTTGCCTGGTTTATTCTAACTTCCATTCTGATGAACTAACTATCTGGTTTTGTGCCTTTACCAAAGATTCAAGTGCTCTGGTGTGAGGGGACACAGAAATTGCCACCTTTGTATCCATTACTAGTCAAAGGACGAAATCTTTATAGGTTAATGACCTTGAGGCAGGTGAGTTTTCTTTTCTACTTTTTCATTTTCAGTCATGAGTCTTGCCGGTATGCATATGCTTATCACTTGGTTGCTCCATTTCTTATTCCAGCGATGGCCGAATGAAAAAGACAGAGTCAAAATTCTTAACGAAAAGCATAACCGTGGTGCCGCAGCAAGAAAGGTTATGAGAGAAAGGAAAATTAAGTCAGGCTATGTACTAAAAGGTGAGAGATGGTTTAGTCTTCTTTGTTATAGCCTTCTAGGTGTGTTTATATATATCTATGAGAGTTTTCTTGTAGTGATCTTTCTCTGTCTGTAACCAGATGGAAGACTTCAAAAGCCTGGTCATGTGAAGAAGCCTTGTCAAGTAAAGACAAGAAAAAACGAGAAAGATGAGAATCTAACACAGAGGCTTAGACAAAACGCTCCAGCTAATCATTCACTTGTTGCTTTTCCAAACCAAAATCCTTCACAGGGCCATAAGAATCCTACACAGTTGAGAAATATGAATCCCCCTAGTTCCTACACTTCTCATTCATATGCTCCTCGTTCACATGCACCTCCTACATATGCTCCTCGACCACATGCTCCTCTTACATACGCTCCTATCAATTCACATCTTCCTCGTCCAAACATTCCTCCTTACCACCCCCATACTTATTCAACACAACAAAACCAAACAAACCAAAGACCACCACCTGCCTCCTATACTTATCCAACACAGCAAAACCAAACAAACCAAAGACCACCACCTGCCTCCTATACTTATCCAGCACAGCAAAACCAAACAAACCAAAGACCACCACCTGCCTCCTATACTTATTCAACACAGCAAAACCAAACAAACCAAAGACCACCACCAGCTTTCTACAACAGAAGACCTGCCTCTAATGCCCTGCAGGGACAAGCATCATTCAACCCACATGCCAATACACACGCTGTGCCGGTTACTCATCAGAGGAGACCATACCAGAACCACCATGTCGGATCGAACAGTGGCTACAACCTCGGAGTGAGGGACTTGGATCACTTCTCGCATATGATGATAAGCCACAGAACAGAAGGAGACACATACAGGCAGAGTGAGGTCTCTCAAGGACCATACATGAACCATCAGACCTACCATTCCAACTTCAGTAGTGGCTACAACCATGGGGCAAGGGACTTGTACATGGTAAACCACGGAAGAGAAGGAGACAATCACAGACCAAATTATCGATAACACAAAGTACATTGTGAGTAATATCTTTCATCATCATACAAACTTGGTACCGGTCTCTATTGCAAGTAAACTTACTTTTACACATTTTTCAGGTTCTCAGGCCATAGGAAAGCGTCCTGATCATCGGTTCTCAATCCTTGTCTGTGATTCGTAAAAAAGCTTTCTAGGCTCATGATTCTCTTGATCATCCGATTCTATTTTGTACATGAGTGTGATTCTTGCCTTCACTCATCTTGGGGGTCATCAAAGGTTATTTACCTTGTAATCAGGATGGTGTTCTTGGCTTAATTATTACTCTATTGGCTTTATTCTTTATTTCTTTATTACTCAACCCTCACAAGAATATTACCAAATGTTGCAATAATTAATATTAAGATACGTAGATACATGTAAAAAGAACAAGTTACTAGAATCATTCTCGTTTGAAACATGGCAAGAACCATTGGGATCTAGAGCGGGGAAAGGAAGAGGAAACACATCGGTGCGGTTGTTCAACCGTGTTGGAATCGAGGCTGAATATGAAGATTTCGTTTTTGTCATATTGATCTTGAAAATAAGGAGTAGGATTGGAGAAGTAGATGGAATTGGCCTTGATCCCTTGCATGTCCTTGGCGAGCACTGTGATACCCAAATCCAAAAGAATGGCCTCGTCTGGCAAAGAAACAATTTTCTCCCACTTATTGTTCCCTACCATCTTGTCGATTTTAAATTTCCATATCTTGGAAAAACTCGGACGATGGCACTGAACAATTAGGACATCTCCGCATAGAGTGACCACCATATTATCCTTCCGGTGACTCAACTGGTCATTCACTGGAAATCCAGGAAGTCTCATATAACCACCACCTCCTCCTCGTGGTTTTAAGCACTCACTAACGCAAGTTTTGAAAACTTTGACCGGAATATCTCTAGAGAAATCGAAGATCTTGAGTTTATAATAGTTGAGACAGTAAAGTTTATGATCCTTAAAAACCATGCTAAAACACTCTTCGATACCTGGAATCTGTTTCCAGGTGGTATCTCCTTTCTTGAAAGAAATGCCAAAATCATCATCAGCCATTCCAATAACAAGGTGATCTTTGGTTTTCTCATCCATCCATAATATCGGACATGTGAGTCCAAATTCTGTTACGAATGACGGTAGATTGATTCTCTCGCGGGTTAAAAGATCAAGAATATAGAGATTATATTGATGGTCTTCCATGTATTCTAATTTAGGTTGCATCAAAAGCCAGCTTCTATAACTGGCCACACAAGAGCTCTTTGCGAAATCGTTGAGTTTTGTACATCATGTCTTTTTCTTCAGGATTGAACAAGAGACAGTAATTGTCCTTGGGGAATCGGATCATCCAAGGGATTTGATTATTTGGCTGAGAATTCCTCGAAACTGAAAGCCAAGATGAACAAACGGATTTAGCACGTTGGAAATCGGCAAAACCAAGGCGGTCAAATACCAATTGCATGAGCTCTGAAGGAAGCTTCGACCACCAGCAATGGGCCGACGACAGATCATCAGTAGCAGGTGGACCAGATCCATGGGATTCAGGGGTTACCGGAGAGGCCATAACAAAGCCTTCAAGTCTATAGAAACTTGTCTACGTGACATTAGAGACGTCGGTCTAACTAATTGGCTGGAAAGGAGGGCATGACTAACAAATTCGTTGGAAACAAAAGGCTGTAAATAGTAAGGTAGCGATAGTTGCTCACGTTTTGAGGTCATCGCAAGCTCTCAGGTAGTGTGTTTATTATATTATAATAATCAAAATATACACTCACACGAAGCATGTGTTTACATGTTTAATATATCAATATGATATAAGACCATCTCTGGGATATTTTTTGAGTTTCTCAAACAAAAAAGAAAATTAGTATTTTAATAAATTTTAATTATATAATTATTTTTAATCACAAATATAAAACTGAACCATAAATAAAAAACAAATGGTTTAATGGTTTCTTAGAGTTTTTCTCTTTTTTCTTTTCTCTTTTTTTTTTTTTTTTTTTTTTATAATAGAGAATTTTTCAATGAGAAACCATTGATGAAGATACTTTAAATATCACGAAAGTTTTTTTTTTCTCATCAAAACTGCAATCTTACAAGAAAAAAATAGAAACAATGTATGTTTTACTAGATTTTTAGAGGATGCTGGTGGGTACTGAGTATTTTTTTGCTGTTATTTTTTTGGTATTTCCATAAGTATGTAAAATGCATTGGCATGTAGGTTTCTCTTTGGTATTTCCATAAGTATGTAAAATGCATTGGCATGTAGGTTTCTCAGATTAGCGTTTATCATAAAAGAAACAAAATACATGTGTTTGATAGAGATGAGTATAAGAGGGTCCTCGGAACTTGTTAGCAAACTCTCATACCAAGTTTGGAAAAGTATGTTGTTTTACCTTCGTAATCAGATAATTATAAAACCTCTAATCAGAGTGATCGATGAATGGTCGGTAGACGCAACCAAATTCATAATCATAGTAGGTCGGTATTTCTTCTTTATGCTAGCTTACAAATCCTATCCTTAGTTTCATTATTTAGGTTAATGTTGCTTGTGTTAACTAATGGAATGGCTTGATGACCCTGCTCTAATGGGCCTCGCATTATTATATAAAATAATAATTTTTTTTGTTTTTGTTCTTTATTTTTTTATCAGTCCCATTGGTTGCAGAAACTTACAAACTTGGTATGAGAGTCTGCAAACAAGTTATGAGGACCCTTAACAAAGAAACTCTCACACTCCTCTCCATCAAAGCTTGAGCTTTTACCTTCTCTCACTTCCTTGAACTTATCCATCAAATGAAGCCCCGTCAACTGATATCCCCAAATATCATAGTACATATACTCTTTCGCTTTATCTTCTTTCACCCCGGTTCTTGATTTTGCACTAGGAGCTCTCACATTTGGAGCTAGTGAGCTTTGCTGTATAATCTTTGACTTAACCCCTAAAACAGGAAATGTTGTTGAGTGCGATAGGACCGGTTTAGGAGGGTTTACGGGCTTCGTTGTGGCTTGAGTAGTAGTAGGTGGCTCTGGTGATATTGGAGACCTAGGAGTTGAGTTTCCGATGTGACTGCTTGAAACATTTGTGCACTCGGGTGTTAATCTGTTGATTCCTCCTTTGTTCTTTTTCCTGTTACGGCGTCTCTTCTTGTCTATCGCAGTCTTTACAGTGAGATTAACATCTTCTGATGATTCTTCATGGGAAGACGAAACAGAAGAAGTAATTGGCTTTATGCTCTTGGGAACCTCATCGAACACTTGGAGGCTTTTTTTGCTTATGGATCTTAGCACATAATTCATTGCAGGGGAGATTGTGATCGAAGAAGGTTTCTCCACTTCTCTCAACTTCATGTGGTTGCGATTATTTCCCTTATTGTTCTCCTCAATGAAGTGATTATTGAAGCAAAATATCAAAATGAGTAGAGCAGCAGCAATAAGAACCGCAATTGAGAATTTCTTTGTTCGCACCCAAAAGACCGGTTTTTTGCAGAGATTAAGCATCAAAACAGGTGCGGTCGCCTTCATAGGTACTGCAAAAATGACAACTCCATATGCCCAAGAGAGTTCAGTCTGGTAGAAATAGAGAAACTTGATGGAATACCTTGGTTCTAATGAAAATTCTTCACACTGATGGTTCATCATAAAACAATTTCTTCCACACTGTTTTCCCGAAACGGTAATACTTAACTCCCTTGTGATCTTCTTAGTATAGAACTCTTTCGACATAGGCTCGTAACAAGTGTCTCCTATGTGAAAGAATCCAGTAAATGACTGAAACTCTATGATGTGGACATGCTTAAGAGATAGCCACACAACACCAGATAGATTTTTTCTGATCAGAACAGAGCTACTCCGTGATTCTTCAGGACAAGACAACCCAGAAAAGGATACAAATGGATCATACCGATTCTTTGATCCTAAAGCTGAAAGGAAACAAAACAACTCTGAATTGGGATAAACATTCTGGTCTGTCTTTTGGATTGTTACACTCTCAGAATCTTCACCATTAATAAAGCCCAGAAACTCCTTAGCAGCAGAACCAGTGTTGTAGCCATATTCAGCTAAGTTATGCAATGTATTAACTGATGAAAGCAATATACATGAGAGAAGGAGAAGACAATGAAACGCCTTTGATGAACCAAATGATGCTCCTCTGTTAACACATAAACAAAAACACATAAGAGAGGTTTAATAAACAATGAAATATATATATTTAAGTAATTTGGGGATTCACAAACTACTTAAAAAAGTTATAAACATCCTAGGAAACAAATATCACCCAAAAATGAATAAAATGAAAATTTGACTAGTACCCAAAAAGAGAATCTCGTTTGAAGAAATCAGAAGTAAGAAATAGTTCTATAAACAGAAAAAAAAACAAAGAGTAAGGAACTATTCCTATTGATAACGAAAGGTGAAACTTGAATTAAAACATCGAACTAAAACCCAGAACAAGTAAGTGATAGAAGAAGCATAGTAGTAGAAAAGATTCGAACTTGATGTTAAAAATAAATAAAAATTAAAACTTTCGTGAAAATCGAAGAACCCATCATCGAAAAAAAGATAAAATAAAGTGAGGATGAAAAAAGAAAAAGTATTTACCCAAAGTGGAAGAAGAAGGAAGGAGGCGTAATCGCTAGAGTTTTTCGCTCCATGTCTGAAAAGAACATCGAATCATCTAGAACTTATCGTCTGAAATTTAGGATTTTTTTTTTAACTATGTAAGATATAGTAAACAAAAGGAAAAAGGAAGCGATTTTTTTGGGGACGAGAGAGCAACGCCACCTGAAGGGAAAGGGAGGCTGAGGACCAATAGACGGAAAATTAAAGGAGAGGAATAAGATGACATAGGCATCCTTTCAAATTACTTATTTACCCCTTTCTTATAAGCTAACTGTTAATTCTTTGGGTTGGGTTCTTTTGTAATTATTATTGAGCCGTTTTCTTTTTACTTTTTTTTTTCAATTGGCATTTAGCTATTTACATATTGATATTTTAGACAATTTTTTAGCCTTTGCAATTAAATTTCTACTTTATTTTGTTTTACGTATATTTTTCATTGATTATATTTCTAAGTGGTAAAATTTGTACCTTAATTGATTATAGCTATAATTTAACATATATAAAAGCTTATAATTTTTAAAAGATATTAACTAATTGGCCGGCCTGACGTAAAGTAGATAAAGATCAAATTTTAGGCATCAAATTTTCTTCAAAATTTTAGGGCAGCAATTTCTAATTTTGATCACTGAATCGTTTTCTACCTCTACATCTTGGAATCGTCATTTTATTTCTTTGGAGAATCCGCTGAGTTATTTAATAAACAACATAGGCCGATTGGACTATTCTCTCTTTCTTTCGTTGCTTTAAATGAGTTATTATTAGGTTTGTAATTGTTTTAAATGAGAAAGAACTTTTTGATTTGGTAATTTATTGAAGTGTGATTCTTGCTATCGGTTTAATATGGTTTCCATAATTTTAGCAATACGTTAAAAATTTGTATTTTGTCAAGATTTTACTCCAAAATCGGAATTACACATGTTTGGGTTGCGAGACGAGTAGTGTGTTGGACTTTTCACTTTTGTGTGCATATGACAAAAACCGGTACGGCCAGGTACAATTCCGAACGGTTACCTCATTAACGGAGTTAATAACGGGGAATCTCGAAGTCTAACGGCGTTTACTTCATCTAAGAGATTCCTCTCGACGTGTTGCCCATATTGCTACGATTCGCGGTTCTAGGACCCATGAAAAGGTTACATCGTGGATGATCGGACGGCTGCGAATTAAGTGGACCATATATACGTTTTAACCAAAAAAGTGAAGGATGTATGAATGGGTTTGGATTATACCTTTAGTGGGCTTAGCTTTTTTTCTTGTTCACAAATAATGGGCTTAACTTTTTAGTACCGCCCAAAAAAAAAGTATTTGTTCTTTCTGTTGTCGAGTGTCAAAGAATCGGTTTTGGTTAGCATGTCTTTCACCTGTAGGCTCTAGTTACAAGTTTTTTTTTTTTTTTTTAATACTTTTTCTCTGGATTTCAATATAAATTCTGTTACAATATCTCAAAATGGACTAAGCTTGACTAAGAAAGGTTTTGCTTTTTCCAGGAACAAAAACGAGAGATTAAATCGTTTGAACTAATTTACGAAGTCCAACAATGAACATATCTGATAAAAAAAAAAAGCAATGTAAATATGTGCTTGGCTATCCTAAACGTTTTAAGTGGCAAGAAAATATATAAGTTTCGGAGATTAATTTGGTTTCCGTCTAGGATCATTTCGACCAAAAAAAGATCTAGCACTTGGGGAAATTCCGCACTGATAAACTTGAAACTGAAACATGAGCCTATTTTTGGAACAGAATTTGGCCTTTCAAATGTCATTGAAATCGACAATTTTTAAACTTTGCATAAAAATCTTTACAAGTTGAGTTATATTGACATTTATTTGATTCTCGTCACAAATTACATATTATTAAAAGATCGACCGAGCTTTTGTCACACGTGTGGAGTAAGTATATACAGATTTCAACCAACTTTTGCTTTCTACATCACTCACTCAACTCCAAAGTGCTCACCAACCTCATGATTCACAGATTTTTTATATTTTTTGTAGAGATTGACACATTTACTATATTCTGGTTTTACATTTTACGGAATGTTTTTTATCCGTAAAAATCTTTTTTTCCCCTTAAATTTGAATTCTATCTATATATATAACAAAGACCATTATTAAGAAGATTCGAACCATAATCTCTTAATATTAGTGAGCACTATAGATTGGTTACTTATGTAATACTTGAGTTATTTTAGCAAGTTTATTTCTTGCATTTAGGTTAAAGGTAATTCCATCTCCGTATATGACTTTTATTTTAGCAAGCCTAATTAGCAACATAAATACCAAACGTATAGTTGCTACGAATAATAATTTGATTATATGTACAAGATATTTTGAATACACTTTAACCAATAATTGAAAAAAAAATTGAAAAGAAAAGAGAAACAAATTAAGCTTGGGACACTATGCAAGTGGGTAAATATTTTAATTATTTAGGTTTTAATGGATCAGTGGCCAATGCCGGGGCTGTTTCCCGGAGTTGTTGGCCGGAACTCATCAACGCCGTATTCTTCTTTGCCAATGCCACTATTCACCGAGCCGCCACCTGTTCTCAGGCCACTGGCTCCTCCGTGTACATTGAGAGTGCTGTTCTTGATTGACTTTCTATGGGTCCTCAAGTGTCTTGCCTCCGTTGGTATGATTTCATGGCACACAATTATGGCAATAATAAGAAAATATATGCACATATATAAGAACACAGCTTTTGCCATTGATGATGATTGAGTTTTTGTTAGTACAAAAATGTCAAGAATTAAGTAAAAAAATAATAGTAAGAAGTCTCACTATTTGTTATAAAAAAAAAAGAGTCTCTCTCTGTTTCTTAATGTTCTATTGGGGTTTAAGTGAGAAATGTAAGTGTCTTTAAGCTTGTATAAGAATCTATAAATAGTAGTCAAGAAATGTTATATGAAGAGTCTTGAATCTTAAAAGGTTTAAGGAATCTTGGGTTTGAGGGTGTCTGTCTATATATAGGCACCCAAGTAACATGGGAACCCTAGTTAGGCTTATGGGTTTAGCACATTTTTTAATTATATTTTTCCTTCCAGAAAAGTTTGAACTAGAGTATATAGTGTCCAATTGAAAAAAACTAATATAGCAATTAATTTCTATTGATATTTGGTTGTTGTGAATTGGGAAGCTTCTCAGATGAGCTAAAAGGTTCACAGCCACCACTTCACATCTGCGCCTAGTTGTCTATATTCCCTTTGCTTCCTTACCAGTTACCCCTTATTATATACATATACGCACACTTAGAAAAGTACTATTAATATTTAAATTGTTGCAAAAAAAGATAAACGGTGGTGTAGGTGAATCCATGATCTTATTTGGCAAAAAGAAAAAAAAGGACTCTTTAGTTACAAGAATTTGGCGCAACTAAGATGTTAATTTCTTCAGACCCAAAAAGAGGAAAATTTGGAGTAGCAAAAGAAGTGCAAATGATACGATATGATATGAAAACTTGTGGAAGAATCATTGACTTAGAATAGAGTTTGGCTTGACTTCCTTCTGTTTCAGGCGAGCAACATGTTGGGAATTGTTCGATCGATGATTGACGCATATACATTGTTTGTGACAACTGACATAGCTAAAACACATGGCCAATTTCTCTAGTATACGTTTAGCCTTGTTCAATTTTGAATAAATGAAGGTGCGTTCATCGCGTTCACGTAACGCCCCAAACATTAACAGCTTTAATTTAGTTATCGATACAAATTGGAAAGAAAAAAAAAAACTAATAAGTAATGTCGTAATCGTACGGTATTAATATAATCACACTTGACATATTAATGAACCGTACCTATGAGACCTACATACATATGTTAAAAGGCTGCTAATTAGGTACATGTTGATCGACAGCGAGAGCAGGCTTTAAGTACTCCAAGACCATTGGGTGCTTATTGTATTAACTCACTTTTGCATTCTTTTAACAATTAAATTACTATACTCGAGCTTCAAGTTGCCCTTCAAACTCCTCAAGAGTTGCACCTTTTATGATTATCAAAATATATTAGTACCATGAAAAAGCTTTCATTATAGTAACACAAAAACAGAGTGTCCTTTGCCACTATTCCATATGCCCTAAGGCCAATATAGCTTTGTGAATCATTAATTAAGGATTAAACCAAATATGGAAAATAGGTTAGTTGGCTCTTAGCTTTCAAATCAGCCCCAACCGTCAATTTAAAGATCTAGAGACTAGCATGATCTTTGGTCAGTCCCACCACCATGATTTAGACAAATTAATATTCGCAGGCTTTGATTTCAATTTTAAATATATAATGTATTATTTTACTATTCTCACACTTGTTAATAAATTTGAACAAATTAAAGACACAAGCTACAATACTAATACATATTTTGATGATAAATATTTTTTGAGTTTTGAGCGTCGTGGATACAGTATTATATATCCGTTATCACCAAGTAGAAATAAAGAATACCATATATAATTGGGGATGCAGGTTACTATGAAGTAAATATAGAATTTAATTTTATTCGAATTAACGATAAATTTATACATACAAATCTAGAGAAGTACCAAAAAAAAAGGGTGTATTTTTGTTATTAAAGATAAACCCTAATTGATCCATATACACAGTGGCGGAGGCACGTTAATGATTGTGGGTGCATTTGACACCATTAAAATTTTAAAAACGTTTTAATTACATTAAAATTTTAATATATATCAGTTTAATTATGAAGCTTGAACCCAACCCAATTATTAGAACTCAACTCATTTGTAAGTTTGACACCATCAAACAATTTTCCTAGATCCGCCACTGCATATACAGTTGCCGCTTTACCCTCTCCTTGGACTTCTTTTTTGAACGTGATATAGATGTTTGATTTATAGTATCTTTTTTTTTATCAAAATAAAGTTTGTGGTTGGTGGAACGAAACTGATGTTGCATGTCCAAAAAAATGCTTCGTTTCACATTGGAGAAGTATTAAAATATATGAATATGCGTCGATGGATATGTACGTGTGATATATCAAGTTTTTATCAGTTATGAAATGTTTAAGTTTCTTACATAATTTTTATCAATTACAACTCTTATTATTTTATTTTATTTTGCTAATGCAACTCTTATTATTAATCTGTGGAATTACACAATGGTAGAACCATTAATTATGTGAATCCGCAAAAAAAAATTGATTAAAACATAATGTTATGGGTTAAGTTAGCATTATATATTGTCGCTTTGATGAGTTTGATAAAATCAATATTAATATACTTATTTAAAATCTTAAATAACCAATCATTGTTAAATTAAATAAACTAATTACAGCTTATTTTAATCACAATGACAAAAAAAAAAAACATCAAGCCTTAGCGAAGTTACGAGAAACAAAGCGATTCAATTAAAATTCAAGACTTATCGATTACAAACAATTACGAAAAACACACCGTGAAGAAAACATAGAAACCATAGCTAGTACACGTCGAACGCACCCACAACAACATCTTACTTTGTCATAACTCATAAGTAAATGTCTAAGAACATAACCATAGCATCTTAGTTTGTCACAAAAACATACAGCTAGTGGCCAATTCCTGGACTGTTCCCGGGGTTGGTAGGACGAAATGCATCCAAAGAATGATCTTCTGTCGTTAACTTGCTCGACAGATTCGAGTTGCGGACAGCAAATTTCTTCGAGATATTAGAGATTCCCGATGAATTCAAAGGTCGACCTTCAACGATGTGAGATTCTTGAATGAGAAACAGAACTATTAGTAGTAGTACTAAGCTAGTCAAAGTGCATTTAGCCATAGCAGTTATGAGAGAGTGTTAAATGTTCAAGATTAAACGAAACGAATAAAAATAGCTTAGGGATATTGATTTATGAAGAATGAATGTGTGTATCAATGGCTTCAACTATAGATGGCTATTTATGGAGACGAAAATTGACTAGCTGGACCATGCATGTGAACCTCCAACAAACAAAGCAAATCAATTATTAATTTATAATATTTACGGTCAAAATAATCTAATATTATAAACGCATGGAAATAATTAGGAGTTTAATTATAATTTCCAAGCTTCTGGGAAGATTTGGTGAATGGTGTTTATATGCAAATATATAACGAAAAAAACATCGAACAAGAAAATGGTGTTGCTATAAAACTTTAGTCTACGATTGAAATATACAT